CTTTCATCTATTAAACACAAAAATTTCAGAGTTTGAACAAATAGGCGAGTAAACAATGGCAGATTTTTTTTTATAGTAGTAGTAAACTATCTTTTTTAAGTCTATAAAATAATAAAACATTTTAAAACTTTTGAATTTAATGCTTTATTAAAATTATCTAAGATTAAATAACCAAATCAACACGTTATCTTTTTTAGCCTGGAATAAATGAATCCACACTTCTCAATGAGCAGGAAGAGAAAGTGCTTTTCAAACACTATGAGAAGAGATTGCTAGACTTTTGTGCTGTGTTTAAGCCTGTGATGCCTAAATCTGTTGTGGTAAGTAATATCAGTGTTGCCAGTTAAGCATATTTAATATATCATATATAATAAATATGATTTATATATTTAATAAATAAACAATGATTTATTTATTATGCTCTTCTGGCCTTTTGTGTCTTATTTTATTTGTTTATTTGTTCAGGGCACAGCTTGCATGTATTTTCGAAGATTCTATTTGAACAACTCATTAATGGAGTATCATCCTCGGACAATAATGTAAGCATAGTGATTGATTGGAATAAGTTAGAAGATTATAAAGTATTTCAGATTCTGACTTCCATGTCTGTTTTTGCAGGTTGACATGTGCATATCTGTCCTGTAAAGTGGATGAGTTTAATGTGTCCAGCACTCAGTTTGTGGGGAATCTTCAGGAGAGCCCAGCGGGACAGGAGAGAGCTGTAGATCAGATTCTGGAGTATGAACTGCTCCTTATCCAGCAGCTGAATTTTCATCTGGTCGTTCACAATCCGTATCGACCTTTGGAGGGTTTTCTGATTGATCTGAAGGTGAGCCTAATGCCTAGTTGCAAACAGTCCTATCTCTAATGCACAGCATTGGCTGAGATAATGTTATTATGGCGAATATACTGTAGCTGGTGTGCATTACATTTGCCACATTACCAATAGTCGGTTAACTGAGTGCATGGCGTCTGCATTTTTCAGACCAGGTACCCATTGTTAGAGAACCCAGAGATGCTTAGAAAAAGTGCTGAAGACTTTCTCAACCGAGCAACAATGACAGATGCCGGACTGCTCTTCTCTCCATCTCAGATTGCTCTCACTGCTGTCCTCAATAGCGCTGCACGTGCTGGCCTCAAGATGGATGTGTACGTTTTTATTTATTTATTTTTTTCGTATTTGCAGATTATAAAAATATTGTGAATATTGCTGCAAAAGAGACGCTCCACCTTGTATTCTCTGATGGTAAACTTGACACTTATGTTTTTCACATTAGATAAGTGAAAAAAAAATTCTAATCTAGATGCAGTTGAAGGTTTCCCCCCCCAAACTATTTCCAAAGTGATTTTCACCAGAGCAAAGCCATTTTCACAGTATTTTTATTATATACCATTTTTAGAGAGTTTTATTTATTTTAGTTAAAGTAGAATAAAAGTAGTTTTAATTTTTAAGGTCAACATTATTAGACCCCTTAGTTTTGATTGGCTAAAGAACAAACCTGTGTTGTACGATGACTTTCATCAAGGTGTCTGCAGCGTCTTATAAAGTATTAAAAATTGATAAACCATTTAAGAGAAATTTAAGGTCCTAAAAAAGTATTAAAACATTTTAAAAGCTATTTTACATTGTCTTAAAATTTAGATTATACAATGTAGTTGTATGATAATTTTGCCTTTAATCTGCCAACTCTGGGGTGCTGTGTGGTTTATGAAATCGATAAAATCCTGCTAGATTTAACATCACATTGATTTGTTTACTGTAGTAACTAAGGCAACGCCGTTATTCCTGCTGTTCTATTGTAAAGTTGCTTTAAGGCAAGTCACTTTAAAAAGCCTCTCGGGCAGTATGCTCAGGCATTTTTTTTGAAAATTCTCCAAAATTGCTTGTCATGCTTACGATTAAATTTCGTATTAAGAATCACCAATAAAATTGAACAATTAAACAACAACAACTACAGAAAATCTACAGAAACTCTCTTCTGGTCCAAGCCATCATGCAATCATCAGTCTTCATCATCAGATTGATCAGTCTAATAGCGATCTGATTGACTCCTGTACTAGAAAGTGGGGCTTTATTCATTATATTGACGTTACACTTTTTTCCCCATTCAAAACTGTACGATTGTGTTTTTTAATAGTTTTTGTCTATAGGGGCCACCCGCTGGATTAGCATTTATATTCATTATACTGTATAAATAATCTTTCTTAAAATCAGAATTGAGTAAATATACTTTAAGTTAAAATGTTGCCAATGTTCCTGGTTGAAACCTAAAGTGGTGATAAGGACTTAAGATATATGGAAAGTGTCTTAAAAAAGGTTCTAAAAGGAATTAAATTTCACTCTCTGATTCCTGTTTATACACTGTTCATAATTACCCTAACTATTCAAATTAAGTCTTTAAATCACACTTTAAGCTCCATATTTATATCTTGTAAAATATCATGTACTGTCATCACAGCAAGGACGCAATCAGTGTTTAAAAATGTGTTGAAAATATTCCCTCCATTAAACAGCACTTTATTCATTGAATTTCTTTTCAGCTTAGTCTCTTAATTAATCTGGGGTCGCCACAGCGGAATAAACGGCCAACTTATCCAGCATGTTTTACGCAGTGGATGCCCTTCCAGTTGCAACCCATTACTGGGAAACACCCAAACACTCTAATTGTATCGCATATCTTTGAACTTGTGGGGGAAACTGCAGCACCTGCAGGAAACCCATGCAAACGCAGAGAGAACATGCAAACTACATACAGGAACGCCAGATGACCCAGCCGAGGCTCGAACCAGTGACCTTCTTGCTGTGAGGCAACAGCACTGCCTACTGTGCCACCGCATCGCTACAGCACTATTTTTATATTATTATAAAAATATTTGAAAATAAAATTTCAGGGGAGGGCTAATCATTTTGCTTTCAACTGTATGACCATGTTTTTACAAGGTGTGTTTTAGTTCATACAAGTATGATAATTATTAAAAGGTGAAAAACCACCATCATCCCTTTTCTTGTCAGTCAAAAATGACATAGGGTTGAATTAGGGTTGTACTGTTTTTAATGTAAATGAACAGTTTTATTAAAAAACACAGAAGTGTTTGACTAATTACTGTAATTATATAATGTAATGAATACTGGAATTTGTATTGTGTAAAAAAAAAAAAAAAAAAGCTACATTGAACATTTTCTTAATATAGCATCGTTTTCTTTGACATTTACAGATATTTAAATGAATGTATGGGGCTTAAGGAGGATAAAGAGACCCTCTCAAAGATGTATGAGTCAATGAGACGTAAGTAACTTTCTCTTTCTTAAGGTTAATAACACTAAACATGGCTACAAAACCTTCACCCCCTCAGATTTTCAGTGGTTAAACATGATAATAAGGTTCAGGGTAATATGTATAATAAGCAGTGGTGTAAAGTAACAAATTACAAATACTCAAAATAACTGTAATTGAGTAGTCTTTCTCAGGAATTGTAATTTACTAAGTAGTTTTAAATTGTTTTGTTTTACGTTCCCTATAGTATAGTTTTATTCAGTATCGGTACTTTATTCCTCTACTTTCCTTCAATCTGCAGTCACTACTTTATTGTTTCTTGTCTATGGGGATTAGAAAAATCAGTCCTGTGATTCCATGTGCGATTTGATTGGACAGAGGGGTAAATTGCATCTTAATGAACTACCTCAAGACATGTGCTATTTATAATTGCAGCAAACTGTTTGGAAGTATTAAGTGTCCAAGAAGATGTCCAAAATCTTTACACGCAATGACCCAGAGACTGTTTAGATGCATGTCACTAATAGGAAGATGACATGCTTACTGTATGATGACCAAAATGGCCTTAAAACACACAGCAAGCACAAGGCATTAACATGGTGTTAGACTGACATTGTACCTCAACGTCGTGGCGTGAGGACATTGCGTTTAACTTAACATCAGGCCGATGTCTGTGTACAACCTAAATCAACCAAATAACAACATCATTTGACATTTGTTAAGGCTGATTTAAAATAATGATGTGCTTAGACACTGGTTAATCATTGAATTTTTGTCACCTAACATCACAACCTAAATCTAACCTGATTTCTTGTAGCGTTATGTGGCTGCTGGGCAATAACTAAATGCACTACAGAATGCCAAGTTTACACAAATTGCATGTAAATGCATCAGCCGTTTACAGGGTAATACTCACTACTCGAGTACTTTTGATATGTCTACTTTTAACTCATACTTTGAGTAATATTTTCAACAGATACTTTAACTCGCACTACATTTGTAAGCAAGTAATGGCATCTTTACTTAAGTATGATTTTTTTTTTTTAGTAGAGAAATATTAATGATGGTTTAATATGTTGTGTGTTTTTTATTACACTGCACAAACCAGAATTATGACTGAACCATAAAAAATATTTAGTATAATAAAACAGAGCTACTTGCATAAAACAATCCTATTTATAATTGCATTTGAAAATTGTCCTGGATATCCTTCCATAAAACTACTTGTTGCCAAAATGGTGGTAATTTGCACCTGCTAGGACAATTATTGTCATCAAGTAAGTTAATTTACTATTGTTGCATTTATAATATAAGTCAGTGTTTCTCAACCACGTTCCTGGAAACCACTAACACTGCATGTTTTGGATGTCTCTATTGTTACCATCATTACAGGTTTTTCAGCCTCTGCTATTTGAGCTGATGATCTGAATCAGGTTTGTTTGGTTAAGGAGACATATGAAGAATGTGCAGAGTTGGTGGTCCTCCGGGAACATGGTTGAAACACTGATATAAGTGACACTGTTGTATCACATGGATAATTCTTAATATGTTTTTCACTGTAGGAATGACAAGTCTTGTTAAAGCGTACGAGCTTCCCAAAGCTGAGGAAGTCAGTATCTGCAAACAGAAACTGGAAAGGATTTATGCTGAGTTTGCTACAAACCTGTGAGTATTTGTGGAAGAATTAAATTTGGTGAGACCAGCAAAAAACAAACACACAAACAAACGTTCTCATACTAAGAGTTTTATTCAGCCAGGTTAGTCACTTGGTGTTTTGTATCTAAGATGCAAAAGTCGTGGTTTTTGAGTATAAAATAGAAAAATAAAAATACATGAGCTACCTGAAGTAGAAAAAAAGGGGTAAATCTGCGTCATGCTTTTTTGCCGGTTTTGCTGGGTAATAAAATGCAGCTAAATGCACCGTAGAGAATCCTACATCAGCTGTAGATGGAAACAGGAAATGAGAACAAAGTGAGCTTTTCCAGTCAGCGGTTGTTGATACACATTAACATAACAGGGTTTCCCATACTTTTACAACATGGCACAATAGTTATAACAGTTTTTTTTTTTTGGACATGTACCATGGTTATCATTCAATACCGTCGCATATCGAAAATCACCAGTGTACAAATGGTAGCACCATAGTACTTTCTTTGTAAGGAGGACAATAGGACTACCTCTCAAAACAATCAAACAAGAACACATTATGGAATGCGCCTAATAAATTGTAGAGAAGATTTAAAGTTTTGCATAACTCAGGTAATCATAATAGTTCACATCAAGAAACAAACAAGCTGATAATAATAAACCAATATCATTTGATAGTCAGCACGTTTTGATGCTGGGTTTTTTTGTGATGGAAAATGAACCAGGAAGCTCAGAATCTACTCTATAAAGCTATAAATTCAGGGTTTTGAGTTTGTCGCCATTCTCGATTCAGTGGAAGAACGAGGGTTAAGTTATTAAAAGTGGACGCATGCACCAACCGCGTGTAATCTATTTCCTAAAATTGAATCGGACTCACTGATCTGCTTATGTATCACACACAAACACTGGTTCAGAGATAAAAGCCAGGATGCAGCATCTTGTCAAGCGAAGCGGCTCAGAAGGTAAGATAGGAATCAGTTGCTATCTGTGGGATCGAAGCCTACCTGCACCTGAAACCGCGGGGCAAAACAGGAAGAGGTTGTGCGGTAGTATTGAGTGTAGACGGTTTCTTAAGGCTTGCACCGTAAGTGCATCTCGCTTCCCTGATGGTCAACAGCAATGCGGCGCCAGAGTTCTTGCATGCTACAGATGCCAGTCTAGTGGTCACTGCTCATAGGTCAGTTCAATCAAAGTCAGGTCCAAGAAGCTTTGAGTCAACAGGGTTTTCAGATTTTGGTATTCCCTTGGGAAGTTTGGAAGATTCAAGAGATGTTCTTCACCGCAAATAATATCTCGCACCATTTATTGTGTGGTTCATCTTGTTGTGATTCTGTGGGTTTTTGAGATTGGCAGTGTGTGTCGTTTAACTAGTCAGAGCTAGTTACCGCTGTCTTCATTTGCATCTGGGGAGAACGAGTCTTGCTGTCTTTGCTACCAATCGTGTCTTTCAGAGGATCTGGATAGTGGTGGCAACAGCCATAAAGGTACATTCAGTTCTGCAAAATAAAGACAAAATTAAGCGTGGATACCTTTTTAGAAATCAAGCTTGTCTTGAGCAATTTTTCTAGTTGACCAAGAAATCAAGTGCTTTCGGGAGGCCACGCTATCGTAGCTATGAATCAGTTTGTTCATCATGTTTTCTTATGCTTTTATATAACCCTCATAATGCATTCAGAATGTCTCTTATTTTTGCATAACGTGGGGAAGGATTTTACTAGATTTACATTTATTATTATTATTAATAACCATTTAACAGGAAAAACTTGTTTGGATTGCATTTCTTAACTCCTAATGTTGCTAGATAACACACTCTATGCAGTTTTTTCCAACACATCCCATAATTTCTAAAATATCAACCTCTACCAACTATCTACTACTATGAACAATCTGAAATTATGAATTGTAAAACTAATTTATTTAAAAACAATCAAAAAATCATTTTTTAACACTAAATTATCTTAATTTTTTTTAATTTTGCCTTAAAAGATTTCAGATTCTCAGTTAACATGTTTTCTTTCTATACACTAAAATTAAGTGTAGTAGTAACAGGATTATGTTTGTTACATTATTCTTTTAATGACTTTCAGTCATTATTTAAAATATTGTCAACCATTTGGTAGAGCAGGTAGTTAAAGGGTTAACAAATACAAAAATGTTTTTTAAATTTACCAAGAACCACAGCAAGAAAAAAGTTGGAAAATATGTGTTTCCATAAATGTAAACGCTGCTTTAGTTTATTACATTTCTAAGAATATATATTGAGAGAATTGGAAGTACAAACATTACTGGAATGATTGAAAGTAAATTTAAAGGGGTAGTTCACAAAAAAAAAAAAAAAAAAACATTAACTTGTTACAAACCGGGTTGGATTTTTCTTCAGTTGAACACAAAATATCTGTCTGTCTGTCTGTCTGTCTAATTTTATTTATTTATTTATTTATTGAAGAATGTTGGTAACAGTAAACATTGACTTTTCAAAGAATTTGTTTTTCCTAATGTGGAAGTCAATGGGTACAGGTTTCCAACATTCTTCAAAACGTCTTTATGTCAATCAGAAAAAAAAAAGGCACTCAAAGTTTTGGAAACCCTTGTGAAAGAATAAATAGTCAATTTTTGTTTTAAGATAAGATACCCCTTTATTTTTATTTGAATTTGGAACATATTAAATTACAAAAAAAACTTCAAAAAAGTCCAGATATTAAATATTTGTACTTGCAAATTGCAAAAAGCATTCAGGTGAAGCGGGAAAATGCATTCAATTATTCATCAATAGGCCTACACATTTGTCAATACAATTCAGTTATAAAAGTAAGAAGACTCAGAAGGGACGTGATAGTGGGGGAAAAATGGATGGAAAAAAAAAATGGGAATGGGAAAATATATTTTTAAGTTTTTTTCCTTCACAGAGATATTTTACATTCCCTCACAAAGATATTTTGCAAGGCAACGCAAAGTTGTTTAGCGTTCCCTAACAAAACTGTTGTTCCACAAACACTTCCTGTTCCCTTCATACATGTCTACTCCTGTTTTAACCGATATTTCCTTGTATTTCACCATTCTATCCCACTATCTCCGAGTATTTTCCCATATTTTTAATCTTGAAAGCAGATTAAAATTATTATGAAAATGTTTGCATTCAATTTCTTTTCATTGAAGCTGTGCATCGATCATCGCCCTTCATACGCAACCCCTGAATCAGTTAATGCATGTATAAGTGCTGACTGACGGATGCGCTCTGTATCTATAATGAAAGTAGTCCATTACTTTAGTAACCGATTGTGCTCATTTAAGAGAGACTTAGTTGTTTTTAAATAAAACACAGAAGAAAGACATGTTTACATATTATTAAGTGTATTTGTGTTTAAACACACACCTGAATCCCAAAATGTCCTGCACTTTAGCTTCTTTAAAAGGCATGTACAGATGCTGATTTGGGATCAGTTTATCATACGGAGCGCATTCGTCAGGCAAAGCTTATACATGCATTCACAGTCAGAGGTTGCATATGAAGGGTGATGATCAACGCACAACTTTATTGAAAAGAAAGTGAATGCAGACATTTTTATATTAATTACAATGTGCTTCCAAGATTTAAGTATGGGGAAATACTTATAGTGGGATAGTATGATAAAATACAGGAGAATCACAGCAAAAATTGATGGGTTGACACGTATAAAGTAAATAGGAAGTGTTTGTCGAGCAACAGTTTTGCAAGGGAATGCAAAACAACTTAAAAATATATATTTTCCTATCGTTTTTTTCTTCCACCTTTTTCCCCACCATCACGTCCGTGCCATGTAAAAGTGTTAGAAATGGGGGAAAGGGTATATATTTTTGTTTTGTTTTTTAGATTAGATCAATTAGATAAATTTAAAGTATTTTTGACCAACAAATAGCCAATACATTGCGTGTCCAGAATGCATTGGAGCAGTGGTTCTCAAACTGTGGTATGTGTAGATATCAAATGTGTCATATGTACATGCTACATATTTATAAATAAAGTATTTAAAAATCTATCAAAAATGATTTATATATGAATGACATATAATATTATTTATTTTATGACATAGTCTATATTTCTGAGGTCCAGGCAACATTTTCATAAGTTGATGAATTGGCTACTGTATGTTAATACTTTACATGTAAGTACAGCACTTTTCTGTTTACTTTTTAAGAACATTAGCCTACCAATTTTAACTTTTAAAAGCACATTTTAATTTAAATGTTTTTTTTCTTTTTACATACAAGCACAGTACAGTATTAAAGTTTAGACTATTTATAATGTTTACAATGGCGGACAATGTCCGCCATTGTAAGAATAAATATATTCTGAATAATAGAAATTAATCTACCACGTTTTAGAATTGTGCAGAGCTGTAGCTGCTTTACTGGGCTTACTACGCTATTGTATTTCAATACTGCTCATTATGGTGGTACTTGGAGAGACAATTTTTTTTCTGAGGTGGCACTTGATGAAAACCACTGCATTAGAGGGTTAAACAACTGCTATTGTGTTGATGCTACAGTTAATCAACAAATTGACATGGACAAAAACTAGATGTGATCTATATCTACATGGTTAATGCTAGCATGCATGCTCAGATGTGTGTGAGAGTGATGGCCTTCTAATTGAATGCAGTCTTCAGATGAGAGGAGCTGATGGTTCTGACGCTTTCCATTTCCGTGTCATTCAGGAAAAGAAAACATGGATATGAAGATGACGATCACGTTGTGAAAAGGCAGATGGTTGCAGATGAAGTATGTTTTTGATTATTTGTTCTTCAGATGCCCATCTTCTGGCTGCCGCTCGAATCTCATGGGTTTTCTGTTTTGCAGGAGTGGACTGATGATGATTTGGATGCATTGTGATAAGTAAATGACTTTAAACTGGCAGCAGAGATTTTCAAGAACAGGTCGAGTGATTCCATCTGGTAACAGGAGAGGATGAGCTTCTCATTATTAAATTGTAAATATTTCAGTAAAATGATGTGTAAATCTTTTAGTAATGTGAAAATAAATCTTTCTTTTTTTTAATCACATTATTCCTGGAATGTTTTTTGACATTAAAGCACAGGTGTCAAACTCAGTTCCTGGAAGGCAGCAGCTCTGCTAAGTTTAGTTTCAACCCCAAGTAAACACACCTGATCAAACTAATTGAGTTCTTCAGGTTTGTTTGAAATGTACAAGTATTGTAAGCCTGTTGGAACTAAACTGAGTTTGACAACACTGCTTTAATTTTTTTACTTTTTAGAGTTATTAGATTTTCAGTAAAAAAAAAACTAAAAATTATATTGTTGCAAAAAATCTTTAAAGGATTGAAAATTCTGTTATTTAATTACTCATTGTTTTAATCCCTCAGACCTATGTACATTTTCAAAACCCAAATTAGAGGGTTAGTTCACATCTTTGTAATAATTTTGTACATCTTCAGAACACAACTAAAGATATTTTAAGTGAATTTAGAGAGCTTCCTCATCCTCCATAGACGGCAACAGTCCAGATAAATACCTTAAAATCATCCTCAAAACAGACCACGTGCCTGTTTTGCGCAACTTCCTGATTGAAACAAAACACGGTTTTGTTATACGCCAGGTGCATAACATGTGAATGCATGCGCTATACTGGCATTAGGGAACTTTTTAATATATATATATATATATATATATATATATATATGCACATAAGAGGTTTATAGTATTCTGATCGGGCCACTGAAGGCATATAGTTTGTTTTGACAAATTTTTGAGAGTTATATTTCCTGGACCTAATAGGTTGGGAACCTTGCTGTCTGAAGGCTGGCTCACTGTGATTTTTAATTTTTTTTTATAATCCTAAACGATTGTACCGTGTCAGACTGAACGGCAGTGAAGATCACCAAACACGGAAGAAAACTCCCGAGTTTAACATTAAGCACTTTTTCCACTATCCTTCATTCTGAAATGATTCCTCACAGCAAACATAAACAATCAGTAGTGGCAATTTTGCACACGTCGTCTCAACAATATAACCAGGAAGAAAAAAACAACAGTTTTGACATTTCCTAACGATCATTTGAGCTGTCACATGGATTATGTCATTAGATTCTGCACTCCTATTGGTTCTTGGATTAATGCTTATCGCAGCTGTTGTCACACAGCAGGAAAGTGTTCGAAATTTTCTGACACTGCCAGAACTTCATCTTCTGATCGCACAGGCATTAAGCAGCTTTCTGTGAACATGTCAAACCATTGATCAAAGACCACAGATTTTAGTCCAGGAATCTTTTAGGATTTCCCAAATTTGCCTCAGTGTGAGCAGGGCTTAAGGAGGATTATGGAGCTCTCACATTTCACCTTAAATATCTTAAATTGTGTTCTGAAGATGAACAATGATCTCATGGGGTTGAAACGACATGAGTAATAAATAACCATATTTATTTTTGGGTGAACTAACCCTTTGAGATGAAATCTGAGAGCTCTCTAACCTGCCATAGACAACAATGTTCCTGAGATGTTCAGAAAAGGAATAATAAAAAAAATGTGTGAATTCAGTGACAACTGTAATCAGGTGAAGGTACAAAAAAATAAAAAAAATAAATTGTGTTTGCCTATGTTCTCCGTGTCAGGTTAGGGTGCGCTTTTACTCTGTAAAAATATGATGCTTGCATGAATGGTAATACATCTTAGTGCCCTTATGCTAAGTTCAGACTGCATGTTTTTATCCTCGATTTTGATTCACTTACCGGTTTTGAGAAATCGCAGACAAATGCCTGAAATCAGTCAAATCATTGAATTTTGTAGAGCAGTGAATCTCGAATAATATATAACGAATAAATTACAAGCATAGATAAATGAAATCTAGTAAAGATAAAAGTGAATTAAAATTTTCAGGTATTCACTATTCAGGTACAGAATCATCAACATTGCAGTCTTCATTTTATATTATTTAATCTTTAAAGTTACAAAAAAAATCTTGACCGGATGTTTTAAAATATGAAACGTTCACACAGTCACAGGCCTTACAGGCACAGTTTACTCAAAGATTAAAATGTACTTACTATTTACTCGCACTTCAGGAGTTCTAGATATAAAAACAAATGTAAACAAAATAGATTGTTGCGTGTTTTATGATGTGCTGTAATAAATTTGATTGTCATTGTTTTTCTTATTACCATGTATAAAGTCTTGGAATTTTAGTAGTAAAAATGTTTTGAACCCTGACTTCACTAAAGCTCTGTTTCTCATGTAGTTAACAACAAAAGACATACTGTGTGATCTTGCGTTGTTTTCATATTACTTTTCGCATGTGTTTGGTTGTAAGAGTTGTTAGTAGACTGAGACAAAGTTGTCTGCGATTCTTCCAATTTTAAAGTCATTCAGTGTAAAACCTCCTGTCAATCAATCCATCTTGCAGTGTAAACAGCAGCGACAGAACGCTAGCCCAGATAGTCATGCAGTGTGAAAACATCTGTGACACGACTACTTTGAAAATCATGTAGTCTGAATTCACAATTGGTAAGCACAGCTGACGTACAAAAGAAGAAAAAGGCAAAGAAAGTCTGATTTACGAAACACATGGTTACAAAATCCTTCACATGGTCACAGTTGAGTTGAACCATTGAGATCAAATGAAGAGTTTCGTTCCTGTTCTGGACTTTGAATATCTCAGGAAAGATTCCATCTAAAATACCTTGATTTGTGTTCTGAAGACATAGAAGTTCTCACAGGGTTGTAGCGACACAGTTTTCTTTTTTGGATGAACTTAACCTTTAAAAATGTCCTGATAAGTTCAGCTTTACATCAAAAAAGTATTTTGAGCTGAAAATGATTTCTCCATTTCCAGAATATATACAAAAATATGTTTCTACATGACAACGGCCCTTAAATTAGAATGATCAATGAAGACTAATATTACAATTTAATGTTAATATTACTGAAAATTGAGTTCTGACATCATTATTTTACTGTTATTTTAATCAAATAAATGCAGCCTTAAAAAAAGACTTTAAATATATATAATAATACTGAAATGGATGTATCCACTGAATGTGAACGGTCTGTACTGTAACTTCACCATATGCATACAGTACAGCATTTTACAGGGACAGTCTCAGTAAAGATTAAGGGATGTTCTGGATTCAAATTATGCTTAATTAACACCACAGATGCAGTCTATAACCATAATAATGGTCCTTTATTCAAAACCAAGAACTAAAAATGTAGACAAACACTAGAATATTTTCAGAGGAGCACAACAGCCGTCTTGTTCTTTATTAAAAGCTGCTTTGATGAGCTGATCTGAGACATAAGCCAGTCAGAACTTTATAAAACATTTTTAATAAGTGCATGCATTCTTGGTACAATCTTTACTATAGTCAATTTTACTGCTGTAAACTTTTTTCTGTTTAAATTTTACCGTCAACATTTCTACTGAGAACTTATCTTGGCTTTGAAATAGTCTCAGGGAGGAACCAATTAAACATATTGTACAATATGGAAAACAAATCAGGTTACCTCAAATTATATACTCATGATTCCAGCAAGAGAATTTATTGTACGGATATAAAAATCATACTCTCTGAGGATGATGAAAAGAAAAACAAACAAAAGTAAATCCAGTCTACAGCACAATTGGAACTAAACAGAACAGTGGGTTAAAGGGACACTAGTCTCGGCACATTTTGCATATTCATAACCATGTAAATCAGTAACAAATTACAGTATAAAAAGCATTTAGCTCATAATCCAGTTATAGAGAAAGAACGGTCGCAGCTTTGTGTCAGTTCAGATTCGGACCAAGCAGATGAAGAGATACACTTTGGCAAGCTGTGTTTAAACCGTCATTCTGCAGACTTAAAGGTGTCTGTTAGCTTGATATGTACCCATGATACTGAGAGTCGCCAAACTCGACCGCGTGATTATAAAGTCATTGGTGTCCAGCCGTTTTTGTTTTGTAGCTGTAGTTTGCATAGTACTTGTGGTACAGGCAATGAGACGAATGGGAAATATTGGGAGGATGGGATCTGACATGGGGGAGGATGAGGGTGGAACATGCTGGGGGTCCCATTGACTACTCCATGAAGACGGAGACAAACTGACAAACAGAAAGACGGAGGTGGAACTACCTGCTGCTGTTGGACATGGCATATTGCACCTGTTTCTGCTGGAGGAGCTCGGTGATGGCCAGCAGCTTCTTCAGCGCGTGCTGGGAACAGAAGTAAAGCGACAGGATTATATACTGCAGCTTGTCCTGCTGGGTTAAAAATGACAGTGAAACCCACAATTTAAGTGTGTCATTTCCTTAAGGTGGTCTTGTGGCCACAAGGTTTTGCATGTAACTGGTGACATCTTTGAGCTATTGAAAGGCAATGATAAACAAAAACAGGTAGCTGGAGAATTAGGCCATGTCCACACATACACCAGTTTCTCCACAGATGTTTTTAAAAAATATCTCAGTCTAGATGAAAACGCACTGTGATACATGTTAAGGGCATGCCGAACAAACACAGGAAGTTAATGACATGTTTATTCTGAGTTCACACTAATTGTGGAATTAAAGATGTAGTATGCAAGTTTGACACTTAGTGGTTGACAGCACCTCTGATAAACTCTTCAAGAGACACTTGTTCTAAGTTAGCTTGACCTAAAAATTGCACAACTAAATAGGACTACAGGCTAGGCCAGTGATTTTCAGCAGAGTTTCAAGGGAAACTCAAAATGAAAATATTTTGACAAATTTGTTGAGATTCTTGACATGTTATTTCATTGCCGAGATCTTAGTCCATCTTCAGAACCCAAATTAAGATATTTTAGATGAAATGAAAAGACAGAAATGGTCTTATGACATTCAAAGTCCAGAAAAGGAAACAACACACTGTCAAAAGTTCACCATGACTTCAGGTGTTTAACTGTAATTATACAAAGCTCCAAAAACAGTGTACCTATGTTAGAATCAGATCAATATGATGCTTGTATGTTTTATGTTTACAGTTGAATTACTGACAATGTTTTTGATTCCCTTTCTGGGCAAATCAGGAACCTTGCTGTCTTTAGAGGACAAGGGAGCACTTTTATTTCATCTAAAATATCTTAATTTGTGTTCTGGAGATGAAGAAAGGTCTCAGGGGACTGGAACAACATGAGGGTTCATTTAAAACAGGCTACATAAAGTAAAATTCTTACAAAAATAACCAAAACATTCACAATTCGCAATTAGTATGAACGAAGTCAAATATTACACTTAGATATTAATATTTGTACAGTTTGTTCAACCTATGGATTGTCCTAGTGACTAGAAAATTCTTGACAATTGTGGCCCTTTGAGTCAAAAGGTTTGGGAACACTTTTATGAAACGTTACCTTTCGAATCATATCCTGTTTATGGCCCTCTTAGATCTTTAATCTGTAATGAGTTCATATTTCTGCTAAAACTGCACCAGAGTGCAGTTGGAAGTGGATTTAGATGCATCTTATCAGTGGTCCACATGTTCAGTGCACAAAAAGTTTGAGATGGCAGCGTTCATACTTGTCCACTGAAGCGTTTCTCGAAGGCAAGCATATTTTTTCAATTGTTTCCAATGAGAGTGCCACTTTTTTTTAGAACAGCGTGGCGAGGTGCTGAGTGTGTGTCTTATGCAGAGCACTGAGCAATCTGCCTTTTTCAAATACTCTGACAGAAGAAAAGCACTTGCAACTCACTGATTTTTATTTATTTTTTTGTAGTGCTGTCATTTTAAGCTGTGCAAAAAATGTTTCACGATTCCTTAAATGTCCTTGCACACAGTTTGATATTCTCATTTGAAATATTCTCTATTAAAAACAAATACAACCTTATGTTGTGTTTACGCTTACAGAGACTGCCTTAGAAACTTTTGATCTGGTTAAATGTCTACCATCTTCCTCTCTACGTGATTCCAGGATGGAATATTTGAGGAACAGTTTTTTCTTCATGTCTTTTTAAGAAAAGAGAAGACAAAATCAGTCTCGCTGCTCAAAGGCTTTATTTTGGATTTGTGATTTTTTTCTACGTAATGATATCCATCAGACTTGGTGCGCAAGGTTTTTGTGCATGACAACTTTTTTGGATGATGATTACAAAAAGACATGTGCAATAACCTTTATTCACTGACAGACAAGTGTGAACCCTAAAAAAAATTTAACCAAAGCAGTCTTTACATGAAGATATATCATCCGGCAAATATTCATAGCACTTCACTTTTTCCACATTTTTTTAATGTTACAGCCTTATTCCAAAATGGATTAAATTCATTTATTTCCTCAAAATTCTATACACAATACCCCATAATGACAATGTGAAAAAAGTAAATGAAAAAAGCTAAAACATCACATGTAGATAAGTATTCACAGCCTTTGCTTAATACTTTGTTGATGCACCTTTGGCAGCAATTACAGCCATAAGTCTTTTTGAATATGATGCCACAAGCTTGGCACACCCGTCTTTAGGAATTTTTGCCCATTCCAGTACCTCTCAAGCTCTATCAGGTTGGATGGTGACATTTTCAGATTTCTCCAGAGATGTTCAATAGGATTTAGGTCTGGGCTCTGGCTGGGCTACTCAAGGACATTAACAAAGCTGTTGTGAAGCCACTCCATTGATATTGTGGCAGTGTGCTTTGGTTCACTGTCCTGCTGGAAGATAGAATCGTCCTCCCAGTTTGAGGTCAAGAGCACTCTGTAGCAGGTTTTCATTGAGGATGTCTCTGTACATTGCTGCATTCATCTTTCCCTCTATCCTGACTAGTCTTCCAGGTCCTGCTGCTGAAAAACATCCCCACAGCATGATGGTGCCACCACCATGCTTCACTGAAGGGATGGTATTAGTCTGGTGATGAGCGGTGTCTGGTTTTCTCCAAACGTAACGCCTGACATTCACTCCTAAGAGGTAAATTCCAGGCGGGGAGTGGCTTCCGTCTGGCCATTCTATCATACAGGCCTGATTGGTGGATTGCTGCACAGATGGTTGTCCTTCTGTAAGGTTCTCCTCTCTCCACAGAAGAACGCTTAAGCTCAGACACAGTGACCATCAGGTTATTGATCACCACCCTGACTAGGGCCCTTCTCCCCCTTCTCCGGCCAGCTATAGGAAGTGTCCTGGTGGTTACAAACATCTTCCACTCACAGATGATGGAGGCCACTGTGCTCATTGGAACTTTTAGAGCAGCAGGAATTTTTTTGTAACCTTCCCCAGCCCTGTGCCTCAAGACAATCCTGTCTCAGACGTCTACAGACAATTCCTTTGTCTTCATGCTTGGTTTGTGCTATGGCATGCATTGTCAACCCTGGGACCTTATATAGACAGGCGTATGCCTTTTCAAATCATGTCCAGTCAACTGAATTTACCACAGGTGAACTCCAATAAAGTTGCTGAAACATCTCAAGAATGATCAGTGGAGACAGAATGTACCTGAGCTCAATTTAGAGCTTCACAGCAAAGGCTGTGAATACTTATGTACATGTGATTTTTCAGGTATTTATTTTTAATGATATTTGCAACTATTTCAAAAACTCTTTTTTTCACATTGTCATTATGGGGTATTGTGTAGCATTTGGAAAAAATAAATCAGTGTTATCCATTTTGGAATAAGGCTGTAACATAAAAAAAATGTTAAAAAGGGAAGCGCTATGAATAGAAACTTCTGGATGCACTATATTTCCTCCCAGCATGCCCTGCAAAAGAGACCCATACCTGCTGTGCTCCTCTCTCGTTGCTGAGGGTGCGGAGTTCGTCCGAATGAGTAGCACAGATCTCGTGCAGGGCAGCAAGGTCACGGGACAGATCAGTCCTAAAGTGCTCGGTGGATTCGGGGAGATCAGGAACATTCTGGATGAGCAGAACAGAGAAAATGGGTTCAGACAGTACTCATAAACTGAGCCATGCTGCTTTAAAAATGAATAGAGGAAACTTTACCCCCAACTCATCCAGAAACATGATCATCCTTTGTTTGTTGTTCTTGATGAAAGGATTGACTCCCTCCATGTAGGGCTCCTGCAACACAAACACATCAGCACAACATTAGCATTCTCTCAGCACAGATCATTTTAGAACTCAGCGTGAAAATCTAAACACCTTGGCACCAAACTCCACCAGGTTGGCCAAGTTTTGCACAGACTTTGCTACCAGCGTGAGCGTCCGGCCTGCAGTGGAGGATGGAGGATCTGAAAAGACAAAACACGATTGCATCATCGTTAATATTATGTTTGGACCGATACCAGTATATCTTTAGAGGGGATTTACACAACACAATGTTCAACAAAATACACAAAACTTTGTGTTCGAGCTTTTCATTTTAATTGTTTTGGGGGTCTAAAATTGCATGATGTCATGCACATACACTTAACCAGCCACTTTATTAGGTACACAGGTCCAACTGCTTGTTACCAAAATTTCTAATCAGCCAATCACATGGCAGCATTTCAATGCATTTAGACATGTAGACATCGTCAAGATGATCTGCTGCAGTTCAAACCGAGCATCAGAATGGGGAAGGAAGGTGATTTAGGTGGTTGCAAATGCCTTGTTGATGTCAGAGGAGAATGGCTATACTCCTTCCAGCTGTTAGAAAGGCAACAGTAACTCAAATAACCACTCGTTACAACCAAGCTAAGCAGAAGAGCATCTCTGAATGAACAACTTATCCAACCTTGAGGCAGATGGGCAACAGCAGCAGAAGACCAGGGTGCCACTCCTGTCAGCTAAGAACAGGAAACTGTGGCTACAATTCACACAGGTTTGATTTCTGCTGCGACATTTGGATGGTAGGGTCAGAATTTAACATCAACAACTGCCTCATATCAACTATTCAGGCTGCTGGTGGTGTAATGGTGTGCGGGATATTTTCTTGGCACACTTTGTAATACTAATTGGGCATTGTGCTGGTCGTAATTAAGCATTGTGTCAACGCCACAGCCTAGCTGAGTATTGTTGCTAACCATGTCCATCCCTTTATGACCACAGTGTATCCATCTTTTGATGGCTACTTGCAGCAGGATAACGCACCATGTCATAGGGCTGGACGATATGGCAAAAATTTATATCACAATATTTAATTTTGGTCGATGCGATATAATTCTGATATCGATATGGAGAATATTAAAAACACAGAGAAAAAAACTGCCAAGAACGCACACAATGGATGTCTGTACCAACAAATGTCTGCAAACTGAATATGCAAACTGTATAATACCTCCAGTCTCTAAAAACAAAATAAAAATTAATGTTCACTTTTTATTTGTATGAGCCTTAACAAACAAGAAATGTGAAGTAAACTATCAAATAAATAAAACTCTCAGACTCAGCTTATTTATATAAATAATATATAGACAGTTCATGGAGGTTAGCTTGACGAACAGAAATTTTTATCAGCGTTTTTTTTATTTTATTTTTTTATATGCTGAATATTTAACAATCAAAATATTACTAAAATCTTACAATTATGACATCCACATCGTAAAAACATAAAAAAGAATAATAATTATAATAATAAAAAATAAAAAAAGAGTATGGGCTACATTAATATTTGCAATAGAAAATTAGACTTTTTTTTTTCAAGTTTTTTGAGTTGTTTGAATATATTCGTAGTTCTAAATATAAACATAACATAAAATAGTTCTAATTTTATATAGTCTATTTATATAGACTAATATTTTATATAATTTTATATAACAAATTTGAATTATTTAACAGAATTAATACATATATTAATCCCATTCTTTTTTATTTCATCAGCTTTGCAATAACCAGATTCCTGATAAATATGTTTGTGAATTTTATTATGTAAGTTTGTGCTATATGCCAGCATGCAGCGAGTTTGTGTATGTCAGTGTAAATTTAGGTGTTTATGCGAGGATAGAGTATATGCACGGATCAAGTTTATATGTATGTGCATGTGTTATTGTGGGAGTATATGCACGGATCGAGTATGTGCTTGTGTATGTGATTTCAACAGACTATTGAAAATGTATATGTATAAAATTACTACTGTATAGATTTTTTTAACATTTTAGTAAAATGAAAATAACATATTATAAATATTAGATACGAATATGTTATTTATATAAATATATTAAAAACCTTTTTATAATTTTGTAAATGCTAAATGTGTATTAAATGTGCAATTTTATTTAAAAAATAACTCTTAATCAGAGTGAAAATCTGATTACCTGAGGTAAATGTGTTGCATCAGGTAAATAAGCTTGTGAGTGAGGCTTTGCACTTACCAGCGATGATGTTGAACATTCTGGGGTTGAGGATGGCTGGACAGATGAGTCTCAGGAAGACGAAACCACTGGAGGACACACACAAACACATTTTAGCACTTTGCAAGAGGCTGTTCTTTGTCAAGCTATATTTGTGCGTGTTTGCACGGTGTTACCTCACGACTCGGGTCCTCATTGTAGTGTTGGTCGGCCATTTCTGCTGCACTGACTTCTGAAGACAGCCATAAATGTACCTCAGGGTCCTGGGACAGGAAATGGACAATCAACCAACTCTATAAACTGCTTTGTAAAAGTAAGTGTCCAATGTATATGACATTGACAGGACAGTAATATAGTAATAAATATAGTAATAATTAGGAGTAATGCATTATAAAAGTAATGTATTACAGTAACTTATTTCTTTTTCCTTGTAACGTAGTAGTGCAAGGCATTAATAATACATTTTCAGAAATATTTTACTCAGTACATGTTCTGTAACGCTTGCGTTACAACAAACCTGGCTTTCGCCCACAAGACATTAGCAAATAAAAAACAGAAAGTAAGTTCTATATTCTGTTTGTGATTAGTAAATAAATATACACATATGTAGTAATTAATCTCCCTTTTGCTATTGGAACTTTTTACTTTTAACGTGGAATGATTTCAGCCTCTAAGCTTGAGGTCCAAGGCTATTGGCTCTGCCCGGTCTACAGTAAGCCGATGAACAGAGCAGATGAAAATGACAGAAGACAGTACATTCGCAAGATGGACGTACACGCATTCCTTTGATTTTGATAAGTAGCAGAAGAACATTATTGTCAAATACAACCTTTGTATATAAACCCGAGAGAATTATCGACATTGAGAAATAGCACTAGCAATTAAAAAAGAAAAACATCTTGACCGTTGCCATGTGACCACTCCACTTACAGAGAAGAGAAAATTGAGAAATTGAGTTTTTCTCGGTCTGCCATCATGCCACTTGAACCTCGAGATGTCAGGAGACTTGCTACCATCAATTAATTAGCAAGATCCCTGTGACTGGCAGCAATGACAAGGTAAACTAATGTTTACATGACGACTAGCTAGAATTCTATATAATCTAGTATAGGGATGGATGGGATTATGCTTAACCTACTGAAGTCACCTGCCATGAGGATGAATTCTTTTTATTTGATTAACAGCCCAATGCCATGGCTGATACACCTTTGTCAGTGGAAACAGAGGTGGCCAAAGCACTTTAATTTCATTTTGGTATTGAAAAGTGTGTCTAGTTTTATGGTTTCATAGAGCCAATAGCTATTTGTCTTGTTGTTGTAGCCTAGGTGCATTAATTTAGTCTTTTTAGATGCATGTAGATCTCTGTCTGATCTGTTTTCTTTCTAAGCAGTTAGGCAATGTTTAGCCTATACAGTATGTTAATTTCTATGGATTAAAATGACTGAGGTTGGGGGGTTGGTTCTCTGATTGCATTTTATACTGATAAAGCTTCATTGTGTTCATTTTGTGCATGACAGTTTTGTGTTGTGTGAACCACTTGAATTTAAAGTAAATAAAACAATGGCAACAATAAGAAAAAAAATCTGCATCTTGTCATGGAGTTGGAGTTTAAATATAGTCATGTTGTGTCTAATATGAATATACCCAAGCTATTCACAGATATTGCCAGATAATCACTTTACCTCTACCAAACTTTTAACAGACTTGTCATTTGTAATTCTGGCTGTCGTCCTTTCTTGCATTGTCTTGAGCCTTCACGTTGCCAATTATATACTATATTGTTAGTAGCCTGCATATATATTTTAAGTTAAATGCTTTGCAGTTGACATTTTTAGAATGTTAAGTTCTGATTCTGTAGTTATTTTGGTGAAAGTAACTAAAAAGTAATATAAAAGTAATGTAACATTAAAATTCTGAGACAGTAATATTGTAAGGTAAGGGATTACTTTTAAATAACAGTAGCAAGTAATCTAATGTATTACAGTTTGGAAGTAACTTGCACAACACTGATGATGACCAATAAATAGCCATTACTGGACATCTATAACCCTTTTCACAAGACACTTATGAGGTGTTTAACGGTTATTAGCGTCATAAATCCTAGAAAGCTTTTTTTAATCCTTAGACTTTTTTAAACATATGTATATTTATAAAGCAATACTTTGTACTATACCATCTAATTATAAAAAAGCCTGATCAACGCATATGCTTAAACATTTTGTTCTTCACACAATTTTGATGGAAGTCGTTATAACATGATCTTTGAGTTTTTCTTTTATTATTTGATTAAATAGGAATGCCAAATATGTACTCCCTCATTCACTGTGCTCCAGGTTTACTCAACTACGATGACTTGCATTGCTGAAATACCCAGAAATGTGAAAAGAGTCCATACTATTTTGTCATATAATCAATAAGTATATTATTGGATCATGCATTAGTATTTTTATAGTTAAGTAAAAATAATCAGAAATGTTTCTTATGCAATTTCAGTGATTTCTGAATGATAATGGTCCACTAATTACCGCAGTAATGGCTGCTGAAAAATCAGGAATAAATTAAAATAAAATAAAGATGTCCAGATCTTATTTACATAGAAAAATTGTGGAACGTGCAGTTCAAGGCAAAAATGATGAAAACTTGATGAAACCTGTTTGCTTTACACAGATCCCTTGAATGCATAAAGCACTTGTAATAAAACGTTAATAAGACAGATGGTTAAGAGAATGTAACTTGAATCATGTTGCGTTTTTTTTTTTTTTTCTTTTTAAGTAAGTTTTTAAAATTAATCTAGAAATGGTCAATTGCAATATTCCTGTGTCTATGCATGCATATATTTGGCATATTATTTCTACCATGTCTACCCCCCCTAATAGCAGTCATGCTGGTCAGATTGCAGTCATACTTACGGAGGTAAGATCTCAGCAGCCATAAATATCTTCTCCACCAGCTCTGAAAGGATGTTAAGTAAGTGAGCCAGATTCAGGTTAACATCCTCATTCTTCTCCAGTTTAGACGGGTTCAGCTACAGAGAAAAACCAGAAAGCATTAAACATAAGGGAAATCTTAATTCCCTAAAATTAATTCAGGCTTGGAATAATGTGATGAAGATAGAATATTGATTATTGGTTGAGCGATCCCTGTAATGCTCTACCACTGCACATCTGTATTCTACGCAATCACTTGAATCAAGTTCCATATAAAAATTTTACTTCACAAAAGAAGTCAATTCAATGAAAATCATAGAAATCACACAAAAGCCAATTTATCCAAAGCTTTGGAGAGAACATGATGCAGATATAATATACACTACACATCAGGAGGAACAGAAGACAACACTTACAGATCTTAAGGTAACAGAGCATGAGATAAAAGAAACAGTTCACCCATTTACTAACCCTCAAACAAAACATTGATGAGTTAATTTCTTCTGATAAATGCAAAAGATGTTTTGAAGAATGTTGTAAACTGGTAGTCATTGGCTTCCATGGTAGCAAAAAGAATATATAGTATAAAAGTCAACAACTATCAGTTTCAAAACTTTTTTAAGATCTACATTTTTGTTAAAAAAAAAAAAAATACTCAAACAAGTTTGGAATAAACAGAGGATGAGTAATTGATGACTGAATTTTCTTTCTGGCTGAACTATCCTTTTAAAAGTGGGATATTATTATTTGTTTATTTGCTGTACCTCACATGACTGCTTGCTCTCCATGATCTTCAGTATGGTGTCTTTAAGAGCGTGATGGACGAAAGGTGTAGCCGTGGCCTTCATGTACTGCTCCATCAATGTACTGGCCAGAGTGGTGGCACGAAACAGCGTTGTGGCCTCATCTGCAACATCAAAACCAAACAACATAATGTAGAAAGGTGTGTTGTAAACACTAGGCAATTAACAAGTGTACTGATTTCAAATTAAAAAAAAAAAATTCTCGGACTATAGGTCGAATATGACAAAAAAAATAAATAAATTAAAAGCTACAGTGACAAGTCACAATTTATGTTGCTAACCCAAGGGCAACTATTTTACCCATTTTTCAAGATTTAAGAGACATCTTTTGTGTCTCCAGAATGTGTCTGTAAAGTTCCAGCTCAAAACACCCATTAAATTATTTATTACAGCTTACAGTATTTTATAATTTTCAGCTATGAACACAATGTAGCTGTGCCTGTGCCTTTATTGCTAGTTCTACCCGCCCACCTCACTCTCCGCCTTGGCTGCATCAGATAAACAGCACAGTGACAGACCGAACACACAGACACACAAACACAGCCCATGCATTTAGCTTTCCACAGTTTTTGCACAGCAAATGTGACAGGATACATGTTAATATCCACTGCTGTATGGATATTCGTTATGTTAATGTACAAAATAAACCTGATTTAACGTTCACAAACCAGGATTGAAGCATCTTCTTTTATAATTGTACTGACATGCGGCTGTGGTGATAAGACAGTAAAATCACTGTAATTCATTAACATGCACTGTTTTAAAAATGTTGTAAACCTGTAATACTCATTCTTAATCACATTTGATGATGACTTATGATCACAGAGAGCTGAACAGATCTTTTAATCCTGGTTACTTTGCGCACGTCCTGTCTTGTTGATATGATTATACGCGTTACTATGGAGACATGTTAATAAGTGGGTGTCAATCAAGTCGATGCAGGGAAACCGCATTTCTATATCATGTTGTGGTCGGCCTCAAAATAAGGATTTGGATCCTATTTTAACGTCAGGAAAATAAAAAAGAGAGACTTGTTGTGTTTACTTCAGACCAACAGTACATGTTGTTTACAACAGTACATGTTATGTTTACAATCACAGTACATTATCTGATCTGCTTTGAATTAGCTGTCGAGTTAGAGCAATTAAATTTTACAAATGCTTTTATATTAAAAAATAAATATTAATAAGGTCATGGAGATTATTTTGTAATCTTTCTGAAGAGTCACGCTCTGAAATCTAATTCAAATTCACGAACCGAACGTTCACCATGACTGTGGTTGTAAATTCACCAACAAATGAAAAAAGTGTCTAGTACTAATGCTGGTACAGTGACAGCTCTTCTCTGAACACACTGCACATCGTCAAGACAGCGTCTGATTACTTGCTCTATTAAATGAACAATAGCTTATAGCTTCAAAAAAGGAAGTGTGTAAAATGCAGCAACAAAGCTGTCAAAGCATTGTTCTGGAGCTGAAGCATGATGAAGAAGCCTGAGGGAAACTGGCCAGCCTTGACATCTGTTTGCTGTTGAAGATTGAAATGTGAATAAAACAACAAGAGAGAGAGAGAGAGAGAGAGAGAGAGAGAGAGAGAGAGAGAGAGAGAGAGAGAGAGAGAGTCTTACCCTCCATATTAATTTCTCTGTCGTTCAGTGTCCTCAGCAGCAGGGCTTCCGCTCGCTCATGTCTTAAGATGCGGAGCAGGATGCTTGCCAGCAGAGTGCGGTCCTGACCACACACGTGCGCCAACGCATAGATCACATGATAGTCTCTCTGCAGGATCAGCTGGACAAGCACAGACAGAGCAAGTCAGCAATGACAATCTACTCAAAAGATACATCACTTTGTTTTTTGCATTTCTAAAATATATAGTAAAAAAAATAATAATAAATAATTTTTTTACAGGTTTGTACAAAATAAAAAAGAAAAGAAAGGAGCACCTGAAAATAAAAAAATGTACATTTATTTAACCTCCATTCAAGAGTTAGATTTTCCTTGTTTTTTTTCCTTGTTTTTTTTGGAAGATTGTTGCCCTTGGTAATTTATAAAATGCAATAAGTAGCTCCTCCTATTAAAAAAAAACAGCCAATAGCGTTTGGTTTCCTCACAGCACTGCCAGTGAAAATTATTCAGCCAAAGTGTACAGAATACACAAGACGTGTCACACATATAGTTTTGAATGGGGAAAAGTGTAACGGTCAATATGGTGAATGAAGCCCCGCCTACAAGTACAGGAGCCAATCATCAATCGCTATCGACTGACGATTCTCCGGAGAAGCTCGGACCAGACGTGTGCTTTTACGACAGTTTGGTGGTCAACAAACACACTGAAATCTATGCGAATACTTGCTTCACAGACATAAGAAATATATCCCCATAAAGCTTAAAATATCTACTTTTAAATGAACTAAATGTACTTGTATTCTGTATGAAACAAACGCGAGGTACAGTCCATTCTGTCAAAAGCACATCACATGACAGCAACAACTACTCAAACATCGCTGTAATTTCTGGAGGAAATTCGCCATCAAGACCAAGAATTACTTCAGAAGAGCAACATGATCAGACAATCATTATCCAGAGGATGATAATGTGTAGAATGGCAATAAATGAGGTTGGTGTCATGATCTCAGTCATTTCAAGTGTGCATGCGCATTAGCTCGGGCAACCTGAAAATATGCCGTTTTAGTTTGATTCGAATGTTTAGCAACAGAACTTAAGAGACGGTTGATGTTTAACTTTATTAGTGATTACAAATATGAAATGTAAACGTAAGCTTGGCTTAAAGTTTTGGAGAATTTGATATTCCCCATTCAGACACAATGCTGTAGCATACTGCCTGAGAGGCTTTTCAAAGATGGAGACAGAGTAAGAAACTGAACTATGAAAAATGAGGCGATGTGAAAAGCAATTGATTAAGGCGACAAACTCCAAGCTTTGAATGTTTTTATCAGTTTTATATTTTCTAGATGCAAATTTTGTCATTGTTTGTCATTGTCATTGTAAAGCTAACAGACTGAAACTAACTTCTACATTGTTTTGTTTAGGTTAGACAATTTAATAAACAAATAATAATTTCACAGACCTTTAAGGGCTTATAAACATATAGGCAAGAACTGAAAATCTTTTAGTTTTCAGTCCATATTAGGGCTGCAAAATATATTGTTTCAGCATCAATATCGCATTGTGATAATTCGCAGTAGTCACATCGCGAGTGTACGCAATGTTGGATGTCTGGATTATAATTGATCATTTCACAAGTGTTTTTTGAAGCCTGTGACTGTGAGGGTTCAGACATAAGAAATTGTATCTTTGATAAACAATAATGATTAATGTGATTGAATTATTTATAAAACAAAAACTATGCAGTATTATTTTACATTTAATTGTTCAATAATTGTATGATGAATACAGTTCAACTCCTCGGAAAACAATAAAATGCTGTTTATTTAATTGGTATATATCTCTTTGTTGAATTTGTTTATACTTGTGGATTTTTTATTTTATGTACTCCCACACAGAATCATCCCAATCAATCTAAAATGATAAATTCTTTCCAAATAGTTATTCAACTTATCTCGTGAGATTGTATTCATATCGCAATATATATCGCAGAATAACAAAATATCACAATGTTAGATTTTTCCAATATCTAGTCCACATATTCAACCACAAGGCTACATTAGTAAAATCCAAATTACTATATATTGTGTATGCATATAGACACACACACACCTCTTTGAATTCACTGTACTCTTCCTCGGGCATGATCTTTTCCATGGAGTATCGCACTCTTACACGCAGAGAGCCGGGCTCAATTCCCTTCAGCGGCACATAGGAGCTCAGAGGAAACCACTCATCGATCATCTGGCCCCTCTGCAGCTTGCTCAGCTGGCAACGCATGAACACTGAAACAACATATAAAGAAAAAGCATCAGGGAAGTGGTTGTGTTTGCTCCGTACAGTGCCAGCAGAGGGCACACAAATCCAAGAAGAAGAAAAAAACAGGGATATTTACGGAATAGTTCGCCCAAAAATAAACATTTGCTCACCATTTTCTCCCACACCATGATTACTTTTTTGAGATTTTTTCTTTTTTTTCTACAGTAAACAATAGTTTGAAGAAAGTCAGAAACTAGTAAAACACTGACATGCACAGTAGGAATGAATTAATAAAATAGATTCCAACATTATTGTGTGTTCAACAGAAGAAAGAAACGCAAACAGGTTTGGAAAAAGTACAGAGTGAGATGACTTCACTTGATGACAGAAGACTCATTTTTGAGTAAACTATCCATGATATACCGTCAATTAAGATTTTCTTTTCTTTAGATTTTCAGATTAAGGTTGCAGTAGCTTTAAACTTATTATATACACAACAGCAAGCATCAAAATGACATCCAATACAAGTAAGGGATAGCGTACATCTAGTTCTCACAGAAAAAAATAGAATAAAATAGTTATCTTTATACATTATACTTTTTTATTGTAAGTTCAATGAGTTACAAAAACATAAGCTTTGAATTCCCCCTTCTCTACCCTTGAAACAGACAGTGGTTAGTGATATAATGCCTCAAATTCTGTTTCCATTAAAAGGTCACAGTCTAAAATTAACTTTATACCACAACTGCCTTGTGTGTTACTGGCTACATGTATGCTATTTAAGAACATTTTATATTTAAATCTTTAACAATAACAAGAAAGCTTCAAGTATCAAAACAAAAGTTCACACTACACCTGCCTTGGGGTATTCTCTTATAACCTGTGTCTTTTTTTTAACTCGGTGTAAAAGAATGAAGTGAGGTATTCATCATTTTTACCTGAAGTTGAGAAACTCTTCTTTCTAACATAGTTAGCACTACTTTAGAAAAGAGGGTTTTCAATCTTTTAGGACACATGCCCCCCCAAGTTTGGCCAATTTCACTTGTGCCCCCGACCCACCCTTCACCGAGCCAAAATTATAACTCATGTGCAAACCTCATTCACATATTACTTGCTGCGTTTAAAGTGCGTAGCATTAATTACATAAAAATAAACACATAGCCATCTTTTCAAGTCAGTACAACATGGGTGTATTCCTGACACGACTAACCGTAAATCATCTTTCACTGTCAATAAGTGTGAGCCATAGCTTACTTGCTTTTGATGTACATGCAGAAAATGTTGCTTCGCAAAGCTAAGTTCTCAGAGCCCTGACGGTGTGACTGAGTCGAACATTGAGTACGTTTACACCAATACTTTATTCGATTTTATTACAATTAAGACTATACTCTGATTAAGAGTCTAGCATGTAAACAATGATTTTTGATTACCTTAATCCGACTAAGGTCATAACTGAACTAAAAGGAAATAGAATTAAGACATGGAATATGCATATGTAAGTGGCATTATTAAAATAAACACGGCAAATTATTATCGTCATCAAGGACTATCCACCCAATTTTCCGACAAGATTCTCACACACGGCTATCAGTCAAGAACCATAGACATGCACATCACAAAATGTGGAAGTTTTTTTCTTTCTATTCGGTGTGTGTTATTAAATTTCATAACACTCTTCCACTTGTCCTTACTCCCTATTTCCGTCTAATGCCCCAGTTTGTCACGGGAGCATGAATAAAATGTTTATGAGTTAAAGTGAAACTGCCGAACTGCATTTAAAGTAGTAATAATAATAATAATAATAATAATACCTTTTATTTTTAGGCGCCTTTCAAAGCACTCAAGGACACCTTACAGCAGATCACAAGTACATCATAAAAATACAAGCAGTAAAAATGACAATCAGAATAAAATTAAACCAGCAAATCATTAAAAGCTATCCTAAACAAAAACATTTTTATCTGAGATTTAAAATTGGAAATAGAGTCCATCTGGCGAATGTGCAAAGGCAGGGAATTCCATAACTTTGGTGCTGTACAAATAAAAGCCCTGCCACCAAATGACTTCATCTTAAAGTGTGGGACAGATAACAGTTCAGCAGAAGATGATCTCAGTGAGCTGAAGGAGTGTACAAATGAAGAAGATTAGAAATGTTGATCAGTATGTTAAGAGGAGGATTTTGTATTGTATACGACAGTGAACAGGGAGCTAGTGCATATGAAAGAGAATTGGAGTTATGTGATCAGAAGTATGTGATCAGAAGTATGCGAGCAGGTAACTATCCTAGCCACTGAATTCTGAATCAACTGTAGTCTATGAAGTTGTTTATCAGGAATGCCAGAGAGAAGCGAGTTACAGTAATCAATCCGTAATGTAACCAGAGCATGAGCTAGCACTTCAGTACTTTGTTGAGATAGTGAAGGGCGAAGTCTTGCAATGTTACGCGAATGAAAAAGGCACAGCGTGAGTCTGCCCAAAGTCACCCAAAATTACATGAAACTCTTACATGAAAGCACTTCACGGAAACACCTTAATTATATTATTATCTATTATGGCAAATAACTAGATTACAGATGTCCATGTAAATGTAGACAGTAAGGTCTTCATAGTTAGTGAAAGATCCAGAAAAGCATCCTGCTAATTTGGCTCAGACGGGCACTTTTTTGTCGGACGGCTCACAGGTTTTACTTTACTTTTTACTTTCATTAGTTTTGAAAAGCATCCGGTCAATTTTATTTGTGTATTTTTTACTCACACGCATTAACTCTAAAGGTGCTTGATAGTTAGATGTGGAGCTAATATCAATCAGATTCATTAGTGAACACATAAAAATTTACTTGAGTACATGCCTCAATGTCTCGTGACTCTGGTGGGGTGCGCCCCACAGTTTGAAAACACCTACTTTAGAAGTCTGATAACCAGTTAGCAACTTCCTGCTTTCTTTGTGAAGTCAATATGAAATCTGCAGTTCATCAACTGGCCACTTGAGGCTGGCTCCAAAGGGAGAGTCAATAATATAGACTCTTATTTTAAAAACATCCAAATTTACAGCAGAAAAAAATTGTTTTCAGTCTGGTACGATAAATGATTTTAGTGTGTACAGCTAATATTACACTTCATGACAACTGTAAATGAGGGTGGATTTTTTTTACAACTCATTCATTTAATTTATATCAAGGCTAAAAATTATGCATAATTAATGGTGGAGCCGTTTGAGTGACTTGTATCTGCTGCTTGCCATCATGTCACCTTAGCTAATTCTGGATGTTGAACTTGTAGTGTGCACACACACAGACACAGACACACAGACACACAGACACACACACACAGACACACACAGACACACACAGACACACAGACACACAGACACACAGACACACACACACACACACACACACACACACACACACACACACACACACACACACACGTTTGTTTTTGTGAAAAGTGGGGACATTACATAGTTTTCCATTCATTTTATACTGTCCAAACCGTATATTGTATTACCCTCAACCCTAAACCCAACCATCACATGAGACAGCTTTACTCTCTGATTAAACTCATTCTGTAGGATTTATAGGCTTTTTGAGAAATGAGTCACCAATGAGTCACCAATGTCCTCATATTTCACCTCCTTTTTGTAATACCTGTGTCATACTCATGTCATTATACAGATTTGTGTCCTGATATGTCACAAAAACACGTACACACACACACACACACACACACACACACACACACACACAGTTGAAGTGAGAATTATAACCCCGCTTTTAAATTTATTTATATTTAATATTTCGCAAATGATGTTTAACAAAGCAATGACATTTTCACAGTAAGTCTGATAATATTTTCTTCCAGAGAAAGCCTTATTTGCATTATTTCGGCAAGAATAAAAGCTGTTTTTAATTTTTTTAAAAAACAATTTAGCTTATCTATATCTTGAAAAATATCTAGTAAAATATTATTTACTGTCATCATGACAAAGATAAAATAAATCAGTTATTAGAAACGAGTTATTAAAACTATTAGCTATGTTTAGAAATGTGTTAAAAAATGATCTTACCGTTAAACAGAAATTGAAAAAAAAAACTGTGTGTGTGTATATATATATATATATATATATATATATATATATATATATATATATATATATATATATATATATATATATATATTAATGTGTGTGTGTGTGTGTGTGTGTGTGTGTGTGTGTGTGTTTGTGTGTGTGTGTGTGTGATTGTGTTTGGCACAATAATATGGCATGCTGTGTACCTCATTTTGCTATTAAAGATATACTCACAGATGTCACTTTCTTTGCTTTTCTTGGACTTGTTGCTTAAGCTTATTTCAAATCTGTTGATGTCGCACGACAGGTCACTAATAGAGAGAGAGAGAGAGAGAGAGAGAGAGAGAGAGAGAGAGAGAGAATATAATCAGAGTTTGAATAAACCATCACTTTCAAACCTCAAAATGAGTGTTGAAAATCAAAATGGCAGGGTCCCCACTTTAAGTCAAATGTTAAATTCCTTAAATTTTATTGAATAAAAAGCAGAACTTCCATGACCTGTAAGGATCAGAAAACAGACTGTTCTGTTGAGCAATCCATACAGAATTTACTGATTCTATGATTGCTAAATTTAACACAAATCCAAGCTAATAATGCAAAGTTGTGTGGAGTTTACTATTTTTTTAAAATTGTGACAGTTTTCCCACAGGTTTTGGCCGGCAGGCACATTGTTCACAGTTTAACATTAAATAATACTATATTCTCACATAGAAAAGGTTGCGGTATCCAGTGAGTGATACCGTGAGATATCATAAACACAGCATGACGCTAAGTTTCTATTTATGCATGAGACCCACTTTAGATGAACATAATGTGACATCATCACAATGCACGTTCACCCAGAGCAAAACAACACAGATTTTGATAAAAGGAAGAAATTTAAGAGCACAATAATCTAAAAATTTATTAACAAAATCCAGGAGAGAGATTGAGCTGACAAAACTAACCACAGATAGTATTTTAACAGATACAACATGGTGACTGCATTTGATTGCCTGTTAACAAGCAGTAAAGGAATAAAATTTATATTTAAAAAAATAGCTAACCATCACAAATAGACAAAACGTGATGAATGAAAATACATTTTGGTAAATGGGAAGAAAAATATTAAATGACAGACAACTATGAATTGGAAAAAACAAATTAATAAAATTCCCTGACTTTTAATGTTCAGAATACACCTTATAAAATTCAATATAGGGCTGAACAATTTGTTGTTTGAGCATCGATAGCTCTATCACTGGATTAGATCATTTCAAAGGCCAAGGTTTACATTTGGCATTGGTGGGTAAGGGAGAATCATATGGAAGATAAATCCTGCTAATTTTAAATACATCAAATAAACATTGAAAATTAAAGTGAAATCCAGATTAACAATTTCATCATAAAACACTGTTCGTAAAATATCTGCCAAAAGCGAAAATGAAATAAAATATAATTGAAAAGAAGCTGCCGATTTAACATTTCACTTTCACTGCATTTCGGCATCAAGCCTGCCAATATTAAAATAAAAAGACAAACTGAAAAATAAAATGCAAACACGATTTTTACAAAGTTTGTTATTAATGTTCACACTATAATAGTGACACAAATCAAATTAAAATGCAAATTTAAGTTTTACTTTTATTTACACTTTTATTTTAGTTTTTATTTTCAATGTCAACCTGCATGCAAAGCCTATGCTTATCAGTGGGAGGGGCGTATTCAAGTGATGGGGCGTATTCAAGTGACGTTGAGTGTTTTCAGAGGCCAAGGGTAGCAGCAAGGTTTTGATGGATAGGACAGCATGAGTTACTAACGTAACAGAAGTAAAATGGTAAAAACTATTAGTCAGCTTTACGTGAAGCAGCTGTCGCATTGGTTCAGCAAGAGGAACAGATGACACAGGATAACCAACCATCAAACATTCATACCACAGCAGGAGTCGTGGGCTTCTTCGGAGGGCAGAGAAACTGTGCAGCCATAAGTACGGCAGGCTTTGTGATGAATTTGTACAGTATACTATATTAGGTCTTGTGTCATTAACAACTTGTTTGTACTAAAATCTGGTTCTATCGATGTAATTCCCAGATGATCCCTAAAATTGCGTGAGTGAATGTCCGGTAATTATCAAACCTAAAACCAACTTTACCAAGCTAATTTAGCTACGAAGCTTTCAAAGATTTTAGTACGAATTTAGTACGATTTTAGTACAAAGATTTTAGTTTTAGTAAGTTGCTTACAGTAGAATTTTCCTTTTTATTGAAATGGTTTGCTATTTGACTATAGGCTTCAGTTTTTAATTTAAAACAAGTTGAAACAGATTTAAAAAAAAAAAAAAAAAGGTATAGTAGATGATAATAAATTTGTATTTTAAAAAAAATATATCTTTTCATGTTTCTTTACTCTAAATGTGCATTATTTATAAAACTGTAATATAAAACTCACAGTTTAAATGCACATTTGTAATTAAACACTTAAAAGAGTAAAATAGTATGGTAAGCAATTTAACAAAATGGTGGGAAATATTTTTGGTACATCAAAAAGCATGGTTACGATATCCATTCCACAAGCTAACTCAGCAAAAAAACAGTTCTTTGAATGTCACTAAAATGCAATGATTATATCACAATTAAATAGAAAATAACTGCAAAACAGTTCAGTTTTTGTTAAATGTTAAAGGAAAGTTATTTACTGATAAAGAGAGTTTAATAAAGACTTATTGTTGATTAAGGCTATATTATTCACAAACTATATCAGTCTGCTACAACGTTAGACTGTGTTTTACAATGGGGGGAAAAACATGAGCATTAACGGCATTATCATGATGGCAAACTTGAGTTAATGTGACTTTCGTCCACCTTATGTCCACCTTTTTTGCTGGCGCCATTCTCACTTGTGTGTGTCACACCTCACACACCTTATTATTGCATGGCAAATTCCCCTGCGCAGTTGTTTTGGCGCTGATTGTAATTGAATGCAGCTACAGCCATTCACATGACAGCAGGTAAAGACACAGCCAATCACATTGTTCATATGCGTTTAGGGGCGGTGCGGCTCGAGGAAAGAACATGATGTAACCCTTTCTGCACGATTTTTTTAAGTAAATTAAATTATTGGTGAGGACATTCTGATAGTTGTTGGAAACTGGTGGGGACTTATCAATGCTAAATCTACGCCCCTGAATTATTCATTAAAGATAAAAAGATATTAATAAATATTATTTTTAAATCATTTATACAATGATGGCCATGTTATTATACAATTGATTCAACTTCTGTATTGAATACTGTTCAACTCTGCAGAAAACCATAAAACACTGTTTATTTATTTATTTTTGCTTGTTATTAATTATTATTTATGCAGATGCTCATTCCAGTGGATCTAAATGAGTGAAATCTTCCCAAATAGAGCTATTCAAATCATCTGGTACAATTTAATTTATACCGCAATATGTATTGTAGCAAAACACAATATCGCAATGTCATATTTTTTTCTAATATCGTGCAGTCCTAATTCAATAACATTCCAGTAATAACATGGCCAATGGAAACACTGGAATAAACTCACTCGAAGATGAACTCCTCGGTGAACACAGGGTTTTGTCCTTCTCTTGGATGAGTCCTGGCCACCTGCACGCTGTTCAGCGAGATGATGCAGTACGGGTTGGTGAAGTGTTTGATGGGAAGTTTGTGAGCTTCTTCCACATATAGAACCAAACTGCTAACCTAAGGCGAGAGGCAAATGTGAGATTTTCTCCATTCTCTGTAATGAATAAGTGATGAGATGTCAGAGGCAAAATGACACGCATGGATCTTTTCCCAAAAATATGCCTGTGGTAATGAAAATGACGATGTTTTTTTTAGATTTAGCCCAAAGAGCCTGTTTGGGGATCAGGTGCTCGGAAAGGGCTTTTCATCGGCCTGTTCACCAGCATGCAGACGGTTCAGCTGTGGCCTCTTCAGACAGCACATTCCCAGGCATCCAAACGTCTTATCTCATGATTAAAGGGACAGCGGATAACGCTTTATGGGAACAGCGAGAGTTGACACACAACGGATGGTCGCTCTTACCTGACGCAAACGCTTGTTGTATGTGGTCTGTAAGGGTTTCCGTAGATTATTGCAGAATGTCTGAAGGCATTTCATCCAGTCCTGTGGGTGAAAGATTTATTTAGTACTTTTGAACAAGCTAGATTAATACATGAAGTACAATCTAAAAAATCTTTTGTCGTTTTTCGACTAAAATCGATTTAGTTTGTAGTGTTAGTAGTGGTGTCATTTATTCAAGTCCCAATAAAGATTTTTATATGCTTATAATAAAAGTACACTTGAATAAATGCAGTATTTTGACATATTCATCCAAATTTCAACAATAAAAATTTCCAAGACATATTATTCATCTTATTTTTACATAGATAACAATAAAAGTGTTGTTATAACTTAAATAAGTTGTAATAAATTATATTTTAAAATGTAAAATATACAAATATATTTTAAAATGTATAATTATACTGTGTTGGATTTATATTTAAATATATATCATTATATGATTTTATTTGAAGTTGTATTAGCATTTCACAATTTTGCCAGTAATTGTTATCAAATAAATCCCGCCAAACAGACTTTTAAATTAAACAAATAAAATTAATATCAAATAATTCTGAACCCTTTATGTTCATTATTATAGTTAACTAAATAAAACAATAATATTATATTTTTGTTAATAGAAATCAATTAGATTTATATATTAAATAATTTATATTAAAAAAACATACAAATATACAAACATCTAAAATAAAAGTAAAAAACTGCAGTCAAAAATGAAAAAGGTAAAAACAGTTTAAAAATTACAGGGTCTCTGCAGGTAATTTGAATAAGTTTGCAGGAAACCCAATATATCTATCTTTTCTAAGTGTACATTTACAAACAGTTTGAAAATACAAATTTCATTTATTGTAATTTAATTAATTTAAAAAAACAGTTAACGATTTTTGTAAATTACACAGTATTTAACTTATTTAAACTGAATATTACTGTAGGTCATTGATGCAGTATGTTACAGTATTTTAAAGTTATAATTAAAATACTGTTGACAAGTTGAAATTACTGCATATATTTTACAGTAAAGACAAATGCTGCTGTAAATGTAAATACAGTATTCTGCTGTAATTGATTTGCAGTAGGTTACTGTGAAGAGAACTTTAATAGAACAAAATTGTACAGTTATGCGTTGTTACTGTAGTTCAAAGTTGCATTGTGAAAATTACTGTATTTTACAGTAAAGATAAACAATACAGTAAATAAATATACAACAAGATAAATGCAGCTGTATATGTGAATACAGTATTTTTGTTGTAATTGATTTACAATAAATTACTGACAAACTAAACTTTAATCTGAACTCAGTTTTACGGTAGGACAGATATGCTATATGTTATTGAATTTTTTATTTGTATTGTGAAAATAACTGTATTTTACAGTAAAGATACACAATATAGTGAATCCATATACAGCAGGATAAACACTGCTTTAAACATCTATTTCAGCAAAAATACTATATTTATTTGCAGTAGGTTACTGCGAAGTGAACTGCAATATGAACAGAATTTTACTTCAGGACAGTTATGATGTTACTGTATTTTAAAGTTGCATTAGGAAAATTATTACTTTACAGTAAAGATAAACATTACAGTAAATACATTTACAGGAAGATAAATGGTGCAGTATAAATGTAAATACAGTATTTTGCTGTAACATTTACAGTGAGCTACTAGCGAACTGAACTGTAATATAAACTAAATTTTACAGTAGGAAAATTAAGTAGTATGTTACTGTATTTTAAATTTAAATGGTGATGATAAATATATATTTAACAGTAAATATATGCAATACATATACAAGTCAAATGCTGATGTAAATGTAAATACAGAATTTTTGCTGTAATTGATTTACAGTAAGTTATTGGTGAACTGCTGCCAGTAGGTTACTATAGATTCTACAGGAAATTGATAACAGTGAACATAAGAGTAACTCCTTTTTCACAAAAATATGAATACAGTTTGTTCTAAATTGTTTTCTTGACAATGTGAAGACGTAATGTTCTTAATTTTCAGAAAATCCAACCTAATTTATAACCCACCGAAATATATATTCAAGTTCTCATTTGAAGCAAAAGCTAATTTTTGTTTAATTTCTAAGAAAACACAACTTTAAATTTGCATCTTGAGCAAATGTCTCAACTTGGGGAGGTTTAGATATATTTATTATAAAAATAAATTAATAAATAATGCCATAACTTCATCATTTTATGGCCTGTTTTTTTAAAAGGTATAATAAAAATACTTTTAAAGACCTAAATAAATCCTGCTACTTATAAAAACTTGGATGCTGTCAAAGTGATATGTACCTGTGCCTGCTCAGGTGTTTCCCCTGCAAAGTAGAAAATGTACTGCTCCTCGCTAAAGTGCTGAACCACAATCTGGAAACAGTTTGGCCTGGACAAAATAATAGCATCATCATTAAACACACAACATCAGTAGTGCTTGACACACTGGCCCCAAACATTGCAGCCACTTAAGCTATACAGTCCAGCTGTCAGTGAATTTCAAACAAAACACTAAACCAATCTGAATCTGCAAGCAAACCATTTTTAGAAATACAAGTACACTAGTGGCTTGTGTAGCATTACAGTAGCATACCTGCCAAACAGACTGTCATGGACCCCATACACAGAGCAGACACTCAGATCAATCAATCCTTTGGGTTTGGTGGCTCGTTTCTCACTCTCAAAGTAAATGAGATGAGCGTCGTTGCCTTCCAGGATGAAGTACAAGTGTTTCCAGCGCTTGCCTTTACCTGTGGAAGTATATGCGGGAAGGTGATAAAGAAGTATTTAAAACAAAATTTAAGAAATGAAAGCATGGAAGGACGCTTAATTTATTTACGTAATAAACTGTTAAGAGACAAGCCTTAGTGCACATCAAACCAGCTGAATACTAAATACAAACAACAACTGAATGCCAATAAGAAAATGTCTCAGAAGTATGGATAAGAATTAACATCGGTAGGCCCACATGGTATCTACGCATGCAAAAATCCACAGATTTCCGCATATTTTTAGCCAATCATTAAGTCTATTTGTTTAGTTTTGTGTAATTGTGTGTAAATTCATATTTATGCAGTTTTTAAATTGATTTCAGAAATATTATTGTCTAATAAAAAATGTTTATATGATTTAGTTAGAATACAGTGTGCAAAGTAATAATTTCTAGTAATAGTTTTTAGTAGATAAATGGTAGATATATTATATGAAAGACTTGCTTTGTTTGTTAAAAAAGGATCTAATAGGATTTGCATTGTAAACATTAAATAAAAGTTATAAATGTATTATTTTTATTTAAATTTTAGGTTTTTAGTTAAGATACACCTAAGATCATTCCACATAAATTCACAGATTTTTTACAATATTCTGTACAGAAATAGCAAAAAATGTATGCAAATTCTGTCTGGCCCTAGACATCGGTCTACAATATGCCTATATTTCAGACCCCTAGTTTTTTTTACGATTTTGAAATGGCTGAATTTAACCCAAAATCAAAAAGAATTCACAATTTTTTGCGATCCTGCAAAATTCTTCTTTTTAAGGCAAAATAATGACAAAAATATAAATAATTTAATAAAAAATCCAATTCCAAACCCTATAATCAAATTATATTTATTTCAGTTTGCAATTGGTTTACATGACTTATAGACGTTGTAGACACAGCGCATGTGATGTATTTGAGCGACTCTCGAAAGGTGATGTCTAAGATATGCCCTTACAATAATAACACTATCAATGCAAAGATGGTGTAACTGCCATGATTTAATTTACACGCTTTGCTTTCTTTAATTGGGTCACCAAAGGGAGGCTGTATAGACTGATAGGATTTAAGTGAGGCAAAATAGAGTAAGAGTAATTTACGCTCATGAGCTAACAGGTACAGCTTGGAAAAATGCCATGAGCTTTTATCCTTTAGTATCCCTTCGGCAAGCAGAGCGAGGTATGTTTTGTTTATTATTGGATTTATTTGAAAAATGTTAGATGTTTTGTGAATGTTTGCTGAGTTTATTTTTCTATGTTATTAGTTTTTTTTTTTTTTTTTGTAACTTTACAGTGCTTTGGTGCTACAGTGCTACATGTTAGTATGATGATATGTGCAAAGAAGTATGTGCTATGAGATCACCAACCCGATAAAGATAAGAATTGATGCTTGTACAGTATGTAGCAAAGAACTGAGACAATGAAGATTTCATTGATTAGGTTTATTGCATCTAAGTAAACAATTTAAATGCACTCGTCAAAAACTCTCTGCCTCCTTTATTAAACCTGATGAGCTGCTTCAGGGATTAGACATTCTGTGGGGCAAATCGAGTGAATAACATGGCGCAAATTGGGCGTCTTGTACATTTGAAAGTGGGAGCAAACATCTAACAAATGGAGCGATGGAACAGACAGAAAAGCAAGCAGCTTACAATGATGGTGATTCGTTCAAGGATGACGGCCACTGAAGGTGACCGAATTAAAGGACACTATTTGTGCTTTACATGTATGGCTGGTATTATGATGTACATCAAATTGCTAAATGATTTTGCTCAACTCTTTCTCTGCCGTTGACGAGAGAAAACGCTTCCCTGCCACTAACACTTTTTACAGCAATCAGGGTTTTAGATGTATTATGGTAGAACACAAATATCTGTACTTTTTACTCCTTAAATTTTTAAATCAGGCTTGTTAAATTCGTTTTCATGCATTTGGTGGGGCGATCTATTTTTTTTTTATTTGTGCAGTTTCAGTGGCTTTTTGATGCAGTCAATCTATTTTAATAATTACAGTACAGAGTTTAAATAAATAAGTACAGAGTTTCAGTACCCATTCTTTATTACAGATCTAGCTTGCATCGCGACGTGTAGTTATAATGCATATCAGAGAACAATGAAGAGTATGCGACTGTGAAAGACTACACAAGACATACCACACAACACACACTCAACGCAGAAGTATAAATTGGCCTTTATTTGTCTGTGACATGTCTAACAACTTCTTAAATAATATTTAAAATTCCCCTAAAAACCGAAATAAATATTTCTGCCAATATTGCAGTAATCAGCCCAACGAGAAATTGATTTTAACATGCAGAACATGGAGTAGATAAACCCCAGATCCCCTACAATGTCTAAACACATATCAATTCTTGCAGAACATCGCATCTATTAATGCCTTCGATTTAAGAAATTTAATCTGCACAGAGCGAGCATGTAAATGACAAATGGCATTGAAGGCATAAAAGTTTTAGCACCTATTAAACCATCTGGATATTAGATACAAACAACAGCTGAATAATAACCAGACAGGGTGTCAGAACCGATTCAGACTAATACACTTTTATCAGCAGCAGCAAACCCCACCTAGAACCAAATCTCTTATTAAGCAGAGTCAGTGTCATTGAACTGAACAGCTCTGTGTGCGTTAAGGTACACGCTTTTTCTTTTTGTTCAGCATGGCTCATCCTAAGCTGTCTGTAAAGAGCCCTCTTTTTCGTTTCGCAGGAGATCAAAGACACTCGCATGGGGCTTATGTGCTTCAAATTACCCACATCCTCTCAAGATCAGTCCAAGTCCCACTGAGCGACGAATACAAACACTACTAGAGTCAAACTCAGCGAGAAGAGCAGCTGGATGGAAACAAAAGTAATCATGGGTACCTTTGTTGAAGAGAAGATATCCTTTCTTGACGATGTTTTTGTAGAAAGCATCTTTTGTTTTTCGTCGAATAGTGTTATATATTTCTCTGCCATCAACCAAATCAGATAGAACTTGCTCTTTTTGCTAATACAACAAAGAAACAACACAATGTCATGGCTGTTATTAAGAGGTATAAAATTATTTGATTATATTACAGTGAGATTCATTTACCTGGACTGGGACAGGATCTTTCAGGGTATATCCTTCTACAATCTGCTCTTTTCGGTAACGTTCGATAATATCATCAACACTAAGAGAGGAAAAAAGCATTACTTAATTAGAGACTGTCTGAAAGTAAAGTTCTGTGATTTTTCATTGCTGAGTGGAAAATTAAAAAGTATTGCATTTTAATTAAATTTGCTGTGCGCCACAATATTTGGGACAAGGTTTAATCTCTAAAATGCTTTGTGGAGACATGCAGTGGAAATGAAAATCTGAGAAATCTGTTACGAGTCTGTACAGAAATGATGTTTGTGGGTAAATTATATTCTAATCTGCATTTAGATATTATTCTCTAGCAAGTTTATTTATTTCATAAATGCCTAGGTTTACTTGTACATTTATTTTAAAGAACTGGAATAGTAACTCTATTATTAAAGTTCGTCGGAACAAACTTTGAGGCTGGCTTGAGAGCCTGTTGGCAATAGTTTATATAGTTTAAAACAGATGGATGGATGGATGGACGGATGGATGGATGGATGGATGGATGGATGGATGGATGGATGGATGGATGGACAGGTGTACAAATAGATAGATTGAGAGATAGACAAATAAATATGGGGTATAAGGATGAATAGAAAGTTGAACAGATAGAAAGACAGACAGACAGATAGACATGTAAACAGACAGACAGACAGACAGACAGACAGATAGATAGATAGCATGAAGATAGACAGATAGCAAGAATCAAGTATGAATTAGCATGTTTCTAGTATGAATTAGCATGTTATTAGAACAATTCTAGTACAAGTTAGCATGTTTACAATATGAATCAGTGTACTGTAAGCATGTTTACAGTACAGATTATCATGTTGTTAGCATGTTTCCAGTATGGATTAGCATGATGTTATCATGTTTCAAGTACAAATTATCATGTTGGCACGTTTCCAGTATGAATTAGCATGTTTCTAGTATGAATTAGCATGTTGTTGTCATGATTCGAGTATGAATTAGCTTGTTGTTAGCATATTTCCAGTATGGATTAACATGATGTTAACATGGCTCCTGTATAAATTAGCATGTTGTAAGCATGTTTCAAGTACAGATTAGTATGTTGTTGGCATGTTTCCATAGATATATACACTAGATATCGCATAGGAACCCTGAGCATGCGTCAATAGCGCCACCACATTGGTACAGTGCTCCCAGGAAAAATGTCATTCAACCGTACTAGTCAAGACAGTGTAATTACGTGAAGATGCGGGACTTTAGCGCTGTTTACGGGTGTAGTAACGAGCAAACAAAGAAAACAAAGCACAAAGGCAGAACATTTCATAGGTAATATTCAGTTTTTTTCTGTTTTTGTATGTTCTGAACTTTTGTGCTCTACAGGTAACGTTATTGATGATAACAGTCACTTACTGCATTCACCATACGGCAAGGCAGCTCCAACTCGCACTAAACACTCGGCTTATGCTAGTTTTGTTGAATAAAATCAGCAAACAATGCAAAAGAAATATAACAACGAGATGCTGCGCTGCCAGAAACTGGTATCATTTTCGCCTACGTTAGTGAAAGAGTCGTTCGGGGGATTCATTCAAAAACTAATCGCTCTCTCCGTCAGTATGAGCAGTGAAAGCAGGAGAGGAGCCGTGTTTCAGGAAACGGATTAGATTAAATTTAACAGGGAGGGTGGATAGTACTTTTCTGTACACACAAACACAAGCTTTTTGTCAGGAATGCCCATGCGGTCACTGATCCATCAATGTAGAAAAGTGATGTAAAATTATAATTTTCGTAATTAGAAAAAAAAAATTACATACTAACATCCAGGAAAACTCCCGATCACAGATATATGTGTATATGTGTATATCTCTGGCTTTGCATGGCCACAGTCCTCCACTGTACCTTGGTCCCGCATTCATTTCAAAGGAGCGCTACCCTGTAGCAAGATGGTGGCGCTATTGACGCATTCTGTCCAATAGACAACAATAGGCCAGGCGACATCTAGTGTATATATCTATGGCATGTTTCACTTTACAAATTAGCATGTTGTTAGCATGTTTCCAGCATGAATTACTGTGCATATTATTTGCATGGTAAAAACAAAGACAAAGCATTAACAACAACGATATTTCAATCAAACAAGTAATAGTATTAGAATAAGCATTGTTAATTAATCTTTGCCTCTAGATATAAAAATTCACAAGACAAACTGTTACTACTAAGCTTTGAATGCGTTTCTTTTAAAGAAGGTGTAAGTCTGAATAACAGACAGAAACACTGCTAGCAACTAACTAGGTTAAAAACATTGAAAGCATGCAGCATTTATGCTGTCATGTTTCAGAAGATTGCTTGCATGTTTTTTACCACAATGTAAGCACTATTTAATGCACTGCTAGCTTTTTCTTCCATAATTAAATTAGGTGCATAAAAAAACATTATGCAAGGGATCAGGAATTGATCATACGAAAAGACCCATCAGGCAAAACCATACTGTTTTCTATGGTGTAAACAACATCCCTGAGTGTTTCACTTGCATAGAATACAATTATTAAAAGCACATTAAGGACAATACACATGAAATAAACATTCATATAGCTGTGTCTCGTGAAAAATAAAAAATTGCAGTTAAATATGAATTTATTTTCTATCTTAAAAAGAAAACATTTAAACTTAACAGGAGTGGTATGTATGAGAATATTCTAAATGCATCTTAATATCAAGTGTGAACAGGGCCTTAGAGTGTCAGGGTAGTATCATACCATACCCCAACGCAACATAACAAAAAAGAAAAAAAAAAATTCCATTTGAAAAGGATTTTCTATCCATGATGGTTACAAGTGAAATTTCTACTTAATAACAGCACCTATTTCTGCAATGTCGCAGCATAAACTACTATGACAATGACCACCTCAGGTGCTGATTATGTGCTTTATTAAGTGTTAAATGTTACCAGTGCGAGTTTGAATACCAGTTTATATGATATTTTTAGTCATACTAAAAGTGGCAGCAGATAGTTTTAAGTGTATCTGTCTGCAGAGTGCAAGACAAGTGGACCTTGTAGTAAGTTAGTGAGGCGTAATGGTTGGAGTAGGTGTGGATGTTAATAACTGTGATGGTTCGGGTAGATGTAGATGTTAACAACTGAGATGGTTGGGGTAGGTGTAGATGTTAACAACTGAGATGGTTGGGGTAGGTGTAGATGTTAACAACTGTGATGGTTGGGGCAGGTGTAGATGTTAACAACTGAGATGGTTGGGGTAGGTGTAGATGTTAAAAACTGTGATGGTTGGGGCAGGTGTAGATGTTAATAACTGTGATAGTTATGGTTGGTGTAGATGTTAATAACTTTGATAGTTATGGTTGGTGAAGCTGTTAATAACTGTGATGGTCGGGGTAGGTGTAGATTTTAAAAACTGTGAAGGTTGGGGTAGGTGTAGCTGTTCATAACTGTGATGGTTATGGTTGGTGTAGCTGTTCATAACTGTGATGGTTATGGTTGGTGTAGCTGTTCATAACTGTGATGGTTATGGTTGGTGTAGCTGTTCATAACTGTGATGGTTATGGTTGGTGTAGCTGTTCATAACTGTGATGGTTATGGTTGGTGAAGCTGTTAATAACTGTGATGGTTATGGTTGGTGAAGCTGTTAATAACTATGGTGGTTATGGTTGGTGAAGCTGTTAATAACTATGATGGTCGGGGTAGGTGTAGATGTTAAAAACTGTGATGGTTGGGGTAGGTGTAGATGTTAATAACTGTGATGGTTATGGTTGGTGTAGCTGTTAAAAACTGTGATGGTTATGGTTGGAGAAGCTGTTAACTGTGATGGTTATGGTTGGTGAAGCTGTTAATAACTATGATGGTTATGGTAGGTATAGCTGTTAATAACTGTGATGTTTGGGGTAGGTGTAGATGTTAATAACTGTGATGGTTGGGGTAGGTGTAGATGTTAATAACTGTGATGGTTGGGGTAGGTGTAGATGTTGATAACAGTGATGTTTGGGGTAGGTGTAGATGTTAATAACTGTGATGTTTGGGGTAGGTGTAGATGTTAATAACTGTGATGGTTGGGGTAGGTGTAGATGTTAATAACTGTGATGGTTGGAGTAGGTGTAGATGTTGATAACAGTGATGTTTGGGGTAGGTGTAGATGTTAATAACAGTGATGGTTGGGGTAGGTGTTGATGTTAATAACTGTGATGGTTGGGGTAGGTGTGGATGTTAATAACTGTGATGGTTGGATTTAAGTTTGGGGAAGGTGTAGACGTTAATAATGATGATAGTTGGGTTTAAGTGTAGAGAAGGTGTAGACGTTAGGAACAGTGATGGGTGTGGATCAGGGTTGGGTTAGTGTAAATGTTAATGTCTATGATGGTTGGGTTTTCGGTGTGGAGCAGGTGTAAACGGTAATAACTGAGCTAATAACTAAACTGGGTACAGCTCCATCTTGCCTACAACATAGTTTTGACATGTGGGTCTCCATAACATCAAGTTACATCCCTTTATGTTACGCCCCTGTCTTGCAGCATGCAGACAGACCCAACTCGATAGTGTATGTCAGTTCTTAAAAATAAAATAACTAGCATTAGCAAACATACAGTTTAAACATGAATGGTAGATCTGAGAAATCAGGGCAAACAGGGTCATCAGTCATCCAGCATGTACTTTTAGTGATGTTAAGGAGGTTTAAGATTTATTAATTAAATTATAAACTTGTTTATTTAGTTGCAAGTGCAATGCACTATTCTGTGCTTCTGAATGTCTGTGGTATTTAAATGCTTCTGTCGCTTCGCATATTATGCAAACAGACAAAAGTCAGTGTTAGTAAACATATATATATATATATATATATATATATATATATATATATATATATATATATATATATATATATATATATATATATATATATTTATATATACAATCATCACAATGACCATTAAGAATGTAAATAATTTTTTTTTTTTTTGTTAAATTACAAACATAGCCTTGAAAAAAATGTTGTAGTATAAAGAAAAACAATATATTTATTAGGGTTATGAGTGGTTATTCTCAAGTCAGTTGATGCTTTCAGGCATTTAAACCTCAGCCTGCATTCCTACCTGTTATAGTAGCGTCCTCCCATCATGTACTGATTGTTGGGAGTGGGGCTAATCTTGAACCTTTGGATGTTCTCATTGGTACGAAAGAAGAGAGAGTAATCGCCCGGTGTGTTGTCTGAGGGCCTGACCAAAAAACTGCAGACCTGGCCAACTAAGAGAAGAAAGAGTGTTAGACCTGCTTTTGAGTAAACCTCAAAGGCAGTTATGAAATAATGGCAGTTTCTTTTATACTCTAATGTACGCAATTTGCCTCTAATTCTTGTAAGAATATTTACCATTTGTTATCTATGCTAATGTGAGCCTAATTGCAGTCAAACACAAATTAATCAGAAGTGGTTAACGGATATTTTATTTTAATTATTTGTTTATTATTTAAAAAATATATATTTAATCCAACAGTCTACGTTTGTCATTATTTGTTTTTTCCTTCCATAATCCTTGTATTAACTCAAAATCGTCCTGGTGTGCCTTTAGATTATGAGAAAACATATCCTACAACCAAAACCGAATCTTAATGTTAAACTAGATAAAATAAGCATGTACAGTTAAATATGCAAAATAAAGAAAAAGGGCAAATAATCATTCACTTTTATTTTGGAATGAACTGTAGAGCAATTATTTGCTGTGTGCATTGACTCATGTTTATGTACCTGTCAATAGCAGGTTGTAGGCCTCCTGTTTACTGATCTTCCTGTGGTACCAGCTGCAAAGATAAAAAAGGAAATCATGAGGGAACAGGATATGAGAGATAAGCAAGCAGGGCAGAGGGCAGCACCTCAGGCTCTGTGAGTCAGCGTGACCATTAGAGTCACAGTGCAAGGGATCAGCACACCTCTATTAAAGCTGATCGCTGATCAGAGCCACAGCCGGAAGCTCAAATGCTCATGTTCATACATATACTTGCACCCCAGGATTCTGGCAGAACCTAGAGCACTAAACTAACCAAAAGTAGCTTAAGTTGTAGGGCTGCATGATAAATCTAAATGAACTCGCAATCATGATCAATCAAAAGCTGCGATTTTCATGAACATCTCTTCAGGAGAACACGGTTCTGTGATCAATACTAAATCTCCTCCGAGGTCCAAGGGGCACTCTCACATGGAAACTCCAAACACCCATAAAGAAACAGCCAGAAAAAAAACTGAAGTGTATATATCCCCATTATAAACAAGATTTACCTGCTATTGATTTAACATGACTAATAATCACATGACCATAGAATCATCTCAAAGAACGACTGATTTCAAAAACTTGACTGAAGTTATGAATGAAGTTTAAACTAAAAACATGCTATTACAGTGGAAGTCAGAATTATTAGCCCCCCTTTAATTTTTATTATTATTTTTTTTATTAATAATAATAATAATAATATTTTAATAAAAATAATGTATTTGTATGTGCTTTCAGCAACAGAAAGTGCCACAATCAGCTGTCAATAATTACAGAATGATTATCCTCAATTTCATAATTCTCAATAACTGTCTAATTAAGCCATTTGTGGTTATGAATGCAATTGTTTGTAGCTTGACAGTGAACAGCGGCTCTGGGTAGTAAACACACTGCCCCATCTGAAAGCCAGCGCTGGAGATTTACTGCTATTTACAAAACCGACTTTACTGACAAAAAAAAGTGCAAACTAGGGCTGTGCGTTTGATTGAAATCATATCAAAATCGCGATTTGGACATGCGCAATTTCTAATTTTCCCGCAGTATGGTATTTGAACCAATCATGAAACAGCGCGCCTAAACAAAGCGTGTTCAGGTTTCTTGTTGGTCTGAGGTAAGTAAAATGTGTATATCCCATACAAAGTATGAAGCTGATCAGTCAATTTTTGTTACGTGACTCGCGGTGCAGCATTCTGAAAACTTACATAAAAGTTTGTCTGAAAAAATATGTTTTTAGTTGAGTGCGCCTGGAATGTGCATGCAATCCACATGGCTCTATTGGAAATAATGAACTTGTGCGCGCAAAAGACACTATGTGAATGGCATATTTCATGGCAGCGCTACAAAGAGGTCTTGATCTATAAATGATTTTCTTTTAAAATATGTTTAAGATTTACACTGTACACACAGATTCAGTATGTCTGTGACACAATCGTGATTAAAAACAACATAACAATATGGTTAAAAAAATCGTGATAGGTTTCTTTTGCCCATATCGAACAGCCCTAGTTTAAACAATCGCCTTTAATTAATTGTGCAGCACTACTACAGGCAAAAGTCATATTGAAAATGATTGCTGCATAATTCTTAACAGTTTAAACTGTTGAGCTGGTGAGAATAAGATTAGGCTAAGGGATCAAAGTTTTAGATGTTAATGTTTGTAGATTGTGTAAAAACACCATTATTAATATAAAGCACGTTTGACCATTGAAAGCCATTTAAAAGTCATAAAAGGGAATGTATAAAAAATCACAACATATTCTATTACATTACAGCTGTTCCACCAGCCCATTTTCAAATTGCTGTTAAAAGACATATTGTTTTATACTATAAAGACTTACATTTTTCCCTCATGGGGATCCTCTTCCCGACCCTGACAATAAATTGAGAAGAATCTATTATCCATATGCAAATTCTCAGGGAGATCACAAAATCACTGTCGTTTGTAAAGAGCTTTTACAGGATAAAGGGTTAGAGACACATACCACCTCCTCCACAAGATCATCAACGATAAGGCCTTGTTCTTCTGTCCGAACGTTGGTCACCCACATCCAACCATCTTCCAGTTCATTGTGAACGATAAACATGTCTCCTTTGAGAAAACTAACAAACATGCAAAGAACACAGAAGATATTTTTAACAACAATTACAAAACATAAATGTAGTTTAGAAATGTGACTGGCAAAACACTGGTTTTACAAATAATGAAAGCACTGTTGACTATATTTACACACGCACGCACGCACATACATACATACATAAATACATACATACATACATACATACATACATACATACATACATACATACATACATACATGAGGTTGTGAAATAGTCTGTCACACAAGATTTTCCCGCTTTTCTTGCTTTCTTGCTATTGCTTTCTTGTACTGCTACATTTTGCAGCTTACTATAAGTGCTACTGAACACAACAAAAGATTGCAAAAGATTGCTGCAAACTGCTACTCGAGTAAATCATCTCAATTCTGGTCCTGGAGTACCCCAGCACTGCACATTATTGTTGTCTTTCCTATTTAACACTAACATACCCCTTATTTACTACCACATGCCCCAAGACTAGAATCATTGCTTTATGCACAGTATGTGAAACTATATGCAATGACTAATATTTTAAAAGTCAGAAAATACTAGGATAATCTCCTGCTTAAAATTAAAGATATCTGAAAGGGATAGTTCACTCAAAAATGAAATCTCTTGGTCAAAAACTATGAGTTTCCTACTTCTGTTGAACCCAAAATAAAAACAATTAAGAATGTTTGATGGCACTCACTGACTTTCAAAATAATTGTTTTTGATTTCCTATTATCAACCAACATATCTAGTGTTCGAGAGCAGACACTCATAAAGGTTAAAAACATTATGAGGGAATGTAAATGGTTAAAATCATTGTCTTTCATACAACAACTAGGACTTACAGACTTTAAAGTTGTCATGAAATTGAAATTTTTAAATTTTTATGTTTGTATGTAAAATTGTAGAGCTACATGAAATATCTGTGCACTAATAATCTCGATGTTTAAATAAATTGCCAGTTGCAAATTGTTTCTAGGGATTTCCCGATCCGATATTGATATCGGAAATAGGTCTGATATCAGTCCAAAAAAACTAAATCGGACAGCGTTAAAAAGCTCTGATGTAAGCAGTCCGATGCGCTCTAAATTCTGTTTCAGCTATTCTTAACAACTCCTTATTTCTGCTCCCCAGTGTGAAATGTATTTTTCAAATCGAAACTGGATCAAAAATTTATCAACAAGCTGTGTGAGAAATTGAAAATTTGGACACTCAACCTTTAGCAGTTGGTCAATTAACACTATTTTTTTCTTATGTTCCTGCTCTCAGCTGTTTTTACCATTTGCTGATGGTAAAAAAAAAATAATAATAACTAAAGTAACCTTTAATTAGTATTTTGCACTTTAAAAAATCTATTTTTGTTTATTCAATTAAGATATTTTTAGGGTCTTAATATTTTTTCTTTGATTCTTTTTATATATTCTTATGTAAAAGGTTTACATTTATGCAACCGATAATTAATAAATTGGTCGTTTTTTTTCATACTTATTGCTGCTGACTTTTGTTCTCAGTTTGAGCTAGCCGTTCATACATTTCACTCAACGAAATAGGTAAAAGTAAAGTATTCATGATATGTGCTAATTTCGGATTTGTATCGGTATCAGTTCGTACTGAAGGCTGCAATATCAGTATCATATCGGAAGTTAAAATGTTGTATCAGGACACCCCTATCTGTTTCATTGAGTATGTTTACATGGACACCAATAATCTGATTTTAATACAGTTAAGACAATACTCTGATTAAGAGTCTGTCATGTAAACAGTGATTTTTGATGACCTTAATCCAACAAAAGTCATATTAAAACTAAACAGAAATGGAATTAAAACATGTGGAGTATGCCAATTTTAGGGGCATTATTGAAGTGCAGTACAGGCATGTAAACACTGCAATCAAACTTTAAAAATAATTTTGAGACAGGATAGTCTATACACACACACGGGTGTTCGACACTATCATCTGCACCTACTGAGTCAGTGAAGGGCCACAGAAAGGTAATATGCTGATTTTTTTTTCACATATGGTTCACATATGGCGTGAGGTATCAAATACCTTTAAAACAACACCTTGTCCATGTAAACGTAGTCATTGTTTGTTTTCTCAGGAGACAAACTGTTTAGAAATCAAATGAGTATAGTGTGATTGCCATTATTTTCAACATAAGTATCCTCAGTAAAAAAATAAAAAAAGACATGCGAGCGTGTCAACAAAGAATGTGCAATGGCCAACATCCAATGATTAAATTAATTCATGATGTATGAAATAAAGCCCCCCTCCCCCCAACTTTTTATTTCTTATTTCAGAAGCCATTTCACTCAGATATCAATCTCAGCCTACATTTCAGGATAACTTAAATAAAAATATATATCTGTAAAAAAAAAAAAAAAAAACAAACAATCAAACAAACAAACAAACAAACAAACAACAACAATAACAACAACAAAATGAACTCTAAATAGTTGACTGGCATCCCCAAAACAACATAGCCGAAATTCATGATTTGTCTTACTGCAGTTTGACATTAGCTTTCACACATAAAATCCTTTCCTGAAAAATTACCAGCAATTTTCCTGAAAGGTCTGTTTGTGTGAGCAGGCCTTTAAAAAAAATAAATAAATAAAAAAAAAATAAAACGATAAATTCACTTCCGGCTATTTTCTGGAAAGAGAAGTTCTAACATTACCGGTAATTTGCACAGAATGCTGTGTTGTGGGAAGATTGCCAGAAAGAGCGCATTCACGTTTAGAATGCGCTGATGTGAGGCGTCTACTTTAGCCAATCAGAACAGTCAGACGCATTCACGTCCGCACGGTTTATGAAAATAAATGCCTTTGAATATTTTTCCAGACACATTTAGCTGCTAGATGTTAGTCAGATAACGTTTTTATGTTCAATCTTAATGCCAACTGTTTAAATAATTATCAATAAGATGCTTATGATAAGCCATTATTTGTTTACCTTCAAGCTCTTCTTCCTTCAGTTGCTTGACGTGTCGCATGTGCACGTAAAGCAGCCGATGAGCACCAGCACACACACATATTATGAACATCTCGACATGCGAAAGTGTTTCTCCATATGTTTTCATCGAAGTTGTTCACAATTCTGATCCATCCACAGGGTTTGTAATGTAGTCAAATGTTTACAAATACAAGCGCAGCCGTTTAGAGGTCATTTCTGGTAATTGATGTCAAAATTTACTGGTATTTTGGAATGGATGTGTAAATGCTCTTTTCCTGAAAAAATCCAGTAAGTCTGTGTCCGTGTGAACATCGCTTTTTTTTTTTTTTTTTAATTTACCCGTAATGTCAATCTGGAAATTTTCTGGATATTTACCGGTATCACTGTGTGAAAGGGGCTATAGACTAAGTTTACACGGACATTAGTAATCAAATTATTTGCCTCAAGCTGCGGTCACACTGGGCTTTTCCTCCCATAGACTTCCATTCATACGCAAGCGAATGTGTCAGACCGGAAACGTAGGATCATGCTTCAAATTTCGCAGGTTGCTGCAGTGCAAAGTTCAAGCTTGATGAACTCTGACCTGCAAAATCGCATCACTTGACTGCGTGAGACCAATCGAGGATCGAAACATGACATCTCTGGACAGAAATTTAAAGCATGGACCCATCCCTCGCTTTTTTAAATCTCTAATAATCTTGTTTAATTCTGCGCCGCATGACAGAATATCGCACACACAAACTCTAATGTGACCGCAGCTTTACTCTGAAAAAGAAAACAATATGATTGAGGTGTTTACATGAGTTGCTTTTTGAATGTTCCTTTCATGATCTGTTTTACATGTTATAGCATATATGCAATATCCAAATTTCCTCTGGAATTTCTGGGGGTTCATTATTAATATTTCAACTTTAAATGCAGTTTGTCAGTTTTACTTTTATTCAGGAAAATTTAATTCATGCCACGTGACAAACTGAGGTACTGGATACGAGTATGAAGTAAGGACTGATGTTTTATTTAAAACTGAATAAAAAAAAACTCTGCATTTTGCAATTTGTGTGTCTGTGGTCCTTCACTGACTCAATAAGTGCAGAAAATAGTGTCAAACAGCCATGTGTGTATGAAACATCCTAGTCCCAAAATGATGAGAAGTCCATAATGGTAATACTTTGATTAAAGGTGTTTATATGTCGGTACTGCAATTCAAAAAAAATTCAATTCGTCTCAATTGGATTTCGGTTTAGTTCAATTATGACTTTAGTTGGATTAAGGTCATCAAAAATCGCTGTTTATATGGTAGACTCTTAATCAGTGTATTGTGTTAATTGTATTAAAATCAGATTATCGGTGTCCATGTAAATGTACTTGTGTTGATTTGCTCAAGAGATTTTGTTGCAGCAAACTACAAGTGGCCTCCTGAAGGAGTTTTCAGTTGATTAAGGTAAACTCTAAAGAACAGTATTTTCAGATGATAAGATTTTAATTCAACTGATAAAGTGATTTTGTTAACATTTGACATTATTTCATAATGTTTCATACGTTTGTATTTTATTCACAGTCTAGAAATCAATTCATCAAACATGCAGGACACTGTCTAGGCCCAGCAATTTTAGATAAGATGAGTATGTTAGAAGGTTTTTATACCTGATTTCGTCAGTTTCTGGCACTTTGGTATATGGAAGTATGGCCCTCACTCGCCGCCGGTCCTCCACTGGCTACAAATAGAATGATAGGTTATTAAAACACAACCAGCACATATTAACACCAATGAACAACATACATACCTTACGGTTTAAGTAAAAATCCAAATTTACAATGTTTATTTGGCTAACATATATTGTTATTCTTCAGAACAATTGATCAATGCAAGTCAATCCACTGAAAACAAATGTTTGTTTACAATCAAAGTCTAACCATTTGCTCTTTGATGGTTTTGACTAGGGCTGCAAAATATACTGTTTCGATATTGCAATGTGCACATCCGCAATAGTTATATTGCAGGAAGTGCAATGCTGAGTTTATACGTTGGGATTAGCAGGATATAGTTCAGAAAACAAAATTTTTGGAGTCACCAAAGAGTTTAACCATAATGGAGTGAAAGTTTATCATTTGCACGTTTTAAAGACCCATGACTGTAAGAATAGACTTATACAATGAAGACTATACAGTATTTGTTTGTATAAATAACTACATCTTTGTAGTTACAGTCCACTATACAGTGGTTGAACATTTGATCATTCTGTACCTGAATAATGTGATATAAAATGTTTTTATCTTCCCAATAATATTTTATAAGAATTCCATAATCTTCCAGAATAATCCAAAATAAGTTTAAATTAATAAATTCTTTCCAAAAAGAGCTATCTGGTGAAATGGTATTCATATCGCAATATACAGTTAAATCAGAATTATTAGCCCCTTTTTAATTTCTTTTTTAAATACTTCCCAAATGATGTTTAACAGAGCAAGGAAATTCATAGTATGTCTGATAATATTTGTTCTTCTAGAGAAAGGCTTATTTGTTTTATTTCGGCTAGAATTAAAGCAGTTTTTAATTTTTTAAGAATTTAAATTCAAAATTATTAGCCCATTGAAGCCATTTTTTTTTTGTCTTCAGAACAAAACATTGTTATACAATAACTTGCCTAATTATTCCCTGCCTAGTTAACACAATTAACCTTGTTAAGCCTTTAAATGTCACTTTAAGCTGTATAGAAGTGTCTTGAAAAATATCTAGTCAAATATTATGTACTGTCATCATGGCAAAGATCAAATTTAATCAGTTGTTAGAAATGAGTTATTGAAACTATCATGTTTAGAAATGTGTTGAAAAAAATCTCCATTAAACAGAAATTGGGGGGAAAAATAAACAGGGGGGGCTTATAATACAGGGGGGCATAATAAATCTGACTTCAACTGTATATCGCAATGTGCAATTTTTCAAATATCATGCAGGCCCATGTTTGACTGCTTCAGCTTCTTACTGACTATAAGAAAGTTTGCAAGAACATGTCAACTTTTACTAACCCTTACTCTAACCCCAACCTAACAGTCTACTTATAATCTAAAGAGAATTAGTTGGGATGTTGATGCAATGTAACTTAAATTCAATAAACTGACAATCAAAATAAAGTGTGACTGTAAATTAAGCACAAAATTTCACGATTCCAGTTCATGCAGACTTCAAATATAGCAATAAACACAAATAGGACATAAATAAATTGTCAAAATTTTGACTGTACCTCAGGGGGAGCTACTGGGGACGACAGTTTTTCACCTTTCAGTAGGCAAGACACATAGCTGTAATAACCAATGAGGTCTGAAAGGGACGAGAAGCGTCGTCCACCGATGTAGTAATCTCCACACATCGCAATGATCCTAAAAACACACATCAATGAGAAAATGTTGCATTACCTTAGAGCATTAAAATCACAACGGCAAAATAAATCATACTGACAATTGCTGGGATAAAGTATTGACTGAGTCGCTTCAAATATTCAACAGATGCTTAAAAGGCACTTGCAGTGTCTGTATAACTTGAGTAGTGCAAATAGGCATGTTCGTTTTAATGCGAGAGCTTTGTTCAGCAGCAGAATCAAAATGCAACACTCGTGAAGATTATGGCTTGTGGTTTAAATTTATTATACTATTAAAAGACTTTGTTTAATGCTTGTTCCTTTATGAGCAGATCATTATGAGATGCATGCGCTGGTTCATTATTAATGATGTGCAGCTTGAACTGTAATCTTTGCTGTAAATACCCTGAGCATACAGTTTTTATTATTCAGAGATGTGAGCTGCATTTGCAAGCTAATCTAATTTTTACCTGAATCCTGCTTTTGCAAAAACTGTTGGCTCTTCTGACTGTTTGCTTGCTTTTAATGTTCTTAATTTTTTTAGAGCAGGGATACCCAAACTTTTTCTTATGAAGGACTAAAAATCAAACAGCATTGGCAGCCGTGGGCAAAAGACAAATATTCCAAACTATTTTACATTAAAGTTGCCATGGATCATTTCCTAATTTATTTCATAAAATTGAGAAACGAATTAAAAAACATCACATTGAATCATACTAACTAATGAAGTATAACCTTTTTAAATTATAACTTACTGTGACAAAAACATAATCAATCACATTTATAACACAGTGGAGTTCAATGCTAAATACACTAGCCAAGCAAAATCTGTCTTTGCCTTGATTTGCTCACTTAAGTCTTCTACCCGTCAGGTGACAGTATTTAAACAAAATCTGCTTCAATGACACGATTTAAATTGAAATGTTTAATTTCAGTTAGCTTTTTGCGGCTTTACAATATAACAAATAAATAAAAGGTGAAATTAAGTTTGAAATGACAATCTCTAAACCATCCCCACCATTCTCCCTCTCTTCTCAGAAGGGATCTCAGGCCAAATCAAAGGTTACCGTTGGCCTGCGGGCCCTAGTTTGGGTATCTCTGGTTTAGAGGTCAAGCTTATATCATCAATATTATCAGTAACACTTCATAATAACTGTACATTATGATTGGTTTATTAAGCATCAGCAAATAGTCATGTCAACATTTGTTAAGCATTATTAGGCCCACACTGAATCTGCACGTGCAGATTTCCGCAGAATTCCGCAGATTTCTGCAGATTTTTAGCCCATCATTAATTCTGTTTATTTACTTGAGTAAATGTGTAAATTTTTATTCAGTAATTTATTACTTTTTATTTCAAATATTAAGGTTTTAGTTATGATACTCTGCTGGATACTCCCAAAATAATTCTGCAGAAATCCGCAGATTTTTACCAAAATTCTACGCAGAAATAGCAAAAAAAGTCCGCAGATTCCGTCTGGCCCTGAGCATTACCTCTACATTAACAGACATTAGTAAGCAGTTTATAAATACAGCCAAAAATGCTTTTTTTTTACTTAAAGAACATGTATAATGTGCTTAAAGAGCCCCTATTATGGGTTTTTGAAAATGGTCATCCATGCAGTGTGTAACACAGCTCTAAGTGAATAAAAACATCCAGCTGAGGTTTAAATCTAAAAGTGCACCTTGTTTAAAACTATTGATTCTTTAGCAAAATAGTTGACTTCGAGTCAAATAAACGAATTGAGTTGGGTTCGGATCTTTTGTTTGATGGCATCGACACCGATACGGTACATCATCAAATATGTACTTCCATTTCTGGTAAAATGTGAAAGTGCTTTCACTTCAGACACTAGCAGAGGCGCGGGAGATCACGGGACTGATCATGACGTGAAGATGACAATCACTGACAGATAGAGATTTGGCTGCGGTTTCTTAAAAGTTTGATTCATTGTCCTGCAATTTTTAGACACAAATACTTTTGGAATAACCAATTTGAGAATATCAATTGGAACTTAATCTGTTCTTATAACAACAAATATTTTATCACTAATAAAGTCAGTGAAATCTACTTTAAAATTATACATAAAATATATCCAACTAAACAGTTTCTCAAGAGGTATAAAGTTGATCTGAATCGTGTGTTTTTTGCGGAATGGATGTTGGGACTGTTATGCATTTGTTTTTTTATTTTTTTTTATTTTGAATGTCTATTTAATATACTGAGTGGTAGTAGAATTATTATTAAGAAAAGAGATGTCATTGTACATAGATAAAAAAAAAAAATAATATATATATATATATATATATATACACACACACACACACACACACACACACACACATATATATATATGACTGGAAATGTTTAGCAAATACAATTTTAAAACAAAAAGAGAGATTTGGATGCGAGGAAAAAAGGGTTAAAGTTTATTTTCACAACGATATCACAGTATAGCCAACCTAGAGCCATGTTTGTTCCTGTCATTATTCTGATTTTTGATACAACTACATAAGCTTCAACGCAGGATTCACCAGCCGTTTGCTATTGAAAGAGCAGCAGAGACTATTTTGTAAGGGACTTTGTCAGACTTTGATAGGGACTTTGTCAGTAACCGTTACAGTTCATATGGACCAGTTTCTTCTTCCTCCAGATCATAACATGTAAGTGTCATTTAAATTGTTGCCTCGTTGTGTCACTGTAGTTTGCAAAATATGTGTTTAATTGTGTGTTATAAGTTGTAATTACCCTGTGCGGCTTGTACTCACATATCTATTATAGATCAGTCTTTGTACTGTATCTCTCAGGTTAAATCTTCATGGGCTATTCACATATTGCATCCAAAACTATGCTAGAAGCATGATGCGTGCTTTTTCCTTTACCAATTTAAATGCGTTTCTGAACCTCTCCCAGAAGCTCTGCGAGTCTCTCAATTTCATACCAGCTACTTGATCTCCAAAAACTTGTTAAAATATCCAGAATTTATTGCGACAAGAGTGAATGAGCAAGAAAACAGATTGCGAGAGGCACTGTGTACTCTAATAGAGCAGTAAAGATATCGCAAGTGCAAATCCCTCCCTCCTCTCATTAAGGGATCTGATGTCAATAGTTGGAGCAAAATATTTGAATGGTCTTGCATGCCCTTTTACTGAAAGTAAAAAAAAAATTGACAATATTGCAAGTTCATTAAAAGCTTGCTGGAATTATTAGATAAACAAAAATTCAACACTTTTTTTAACATAAATATTTAATAATAAAACTTCTTGTAACACACTTGTTGCTATAGACAGTAGTTTATAAGCATGTTTCCTTTTAGTAAAGAAATATTAGATTTAGAAGTACGCATTTAAACTTTTTATGCATCAAATATGTGCTCCAAACTTTTTCTTAAATGAGGCATGTTGAATTCTTCCTTCATCATTTGCAATGTTTCCAAATTGCATTGTTTGTAATTTCCCTTACCATTTTTTATTTCTGTGTTTTATAATTTTTTGTGGTCTGTTTATTCAGCTGTGGAGACCCCTGATAAATAAGGGATTAAGCTGAAGTAAAATGAATGGATGAATTATTTTCTGTAAAGCTGCTTCTGGCCATGACATGTTCACACCTAAATGATTATAAGAGATGTGCTTAAGGTATTATATGTAGCTTGCAGCATCCTTAATTTCTTCTCTTAGGTAAGACAAGATCTTCTCTTATCATTCATACTTAAAGGGAAAATGTGCTTAATGCATTATAAAGCTTGAAGCATCAGAATCAGTACTTGGTATCAGCTCTTCACGCGTACTCTGTATCGGCTGCAAAAATCCTGATCAGAGCAACCCTACATTTTAGGGCCAGTTTTGGCCTGGAATTTTAATTTTGTTGCCTCCCTAGTAATATCATTTAATCACACATGAAAATCTCATGATAGTAAAGGCCACTCACCTGAAGTGATTGACCACACTGGTCACGCTGAGAAAAGATAGTACGAAGGAGCCAGGCCGGCGGTCGCTCTCTCTGATGAGGTAACTGCCCGGTGTCCGAGCCTGACGCAATCGCTCTTCAGCAATGGTTCGGTCCAACATTCCATGGTACCATCTGAAAGAAAAGCACACAGATCAATGAGATCATTCTGCAACAAACTTGGTTAAGAGTGTTCAGATTTGTAGTTTAATTATCCTAAATTCTTTGATCTGGACAAAATTACAAATTTAGTCCAGGTTCACACTTGATATTTACAGTTTTAAAGGAATAGTTCACCATTTCTGAAATAAATTACTCATTCCCCATTGGGGGTTGATTTCCATAGTATTTGGGTTTCTACTATGGATGTCATTGCATTATTGGCTGCTTTGATTTCCATAGTATTTTGTGTTTCTTTGTGCATGCACTTTGGATTAACTCAAGCAGCAGGCTGTTTACATATTGCGTCTTTTCCGCACACAAGTTCATTATTTCCAATAGAGACGTGTGCATATTGGAAGCAGACCGACGCACTCACGCTCTCCGAAATACTGTAGAGGGGAGAGCTGTGCGTGGCTTTTAGTGCAATGTAAACAAAAGATACATTAGATGAATTATTACAAATTATTAAAATGACTATGTATGTATGAGCACAGATAATAACAACAGTTTATTTGAATTCTTAGCTAATATATAGCCTAAATGAACATTACAAATACTTTTTTAATTCTTTTTTTTTAATTATTATTCATTGTTCTGTCATTTATTTTAATTGTAAAATTAACACTCATGTTTAAATCAAAAAGTCCAAAGAGTGAAATGGACTATTGTTTGTTTTTTATTCATATTTTGTGCTGTATTTGGTTACTGAGCAGCAATAAAGAACACTTTAAAATATAAGCAGTTTTCTTGTGATTTTCTAAGCTAGCACTTTTTTTAATTTAATAAAAGCCTAATAATTGTGATAAACGTGAAACCATGATTATTCTTCAGACTATAGTCGTACAACCAAAATCTATAATCCTTGCATCATTAAATGTTACGCAGTTTAAAACATAATATTTGAATGTGTTTGAATGTAGAAGAAGCCTACTTGAGCAATACACTGCTTTTTTGAGATTTGAAATACAACATTTAAATATGTTTGTACAAAAAAGCCACATTGTACAATGCAGTGATGTTATGTAGTTTCAGAATACAACATATTAATGTTTAAATATAGAAAATTGTGGGTGCAAAAATACAACATATGGGCTCTTATATTGCTGATGTCATCACTTATATTGCAAGTCATATCTCTCAGGCCCCTCATTTGGCATGCTTTTCATCAATTGGCCCCCATGACAAACTGATTGAATAGCCCTGCTATATTTGATTCACTTTACTCCAAATTACCTTCCATATTTGTGAAAAAGGCTTAGCTTAAAAGAAGGAGAGACTTGCAGAGATTGTATTTGAACAGGATTTTATAAGATTGAACAGATTTTAAGAAGGAAAATCCTGCAAGTCACCCTCTAAACCGAGATATGACAGGGTTCCTGCCGCAGAGTTTTCCCTTGACAAAAACTCATGCGGATATATCAAAAGTGAAATCTCGCTCTAAAAAAGGCGCCTCAGCACAGCGAGAAATTTTAAAAAGCTTTTACTGCAGGAACTCATCCATTAAAAACACGGAGCTCACTAAATTAAACAGTAGCTTTTCTAACAACACTGCTCACATTTTTAGAAGTTTTAGATCATGGTAGTTTTTCCTTGTCTGATTTAACGTTTTGCAAAAAAAAGTCAAGACCTAACCAATGTGCCCTAACCTTACAAATCATCAGCTAACCAAATGAAACAACTTTACGTGATCACTGCTGGACATAAATAAACTGTAGCTTGATTATAACTGTAAGTAAACTTTCAAACTGAATAAATTAATCAATCAATCAAATATTTCTGCAGTATCCCACAGCCTTTTAATTTATCATCAGGCTGTGTGTCAGTCAAATGCCTCAGTTGAACTGCAGATAAAACATTACTATAATAAATTACTGTGTATATAAACTTCTTATCCTATGGGTCAGGCAATGGCACAGGCGTTCTTTTGTTTGCTGTGTTAAATACGCTCAAAAAGGTATTTGGCATGAAATATTACAAGAAATAAAAAAAATACCTCTGTGAAATAAGATAAGAATGCTGTTTATCTCAAAAATCTAGTATTTAAGTTTATCTCTAGTTTATTTGTGGGATGTTTTTTACCCACCGTAGTCGATTGAAGCCAATTTCACAAACATTCTGCATTGTTCGCACCACCTGGTGGAAATTCACCGTCAATCGCATGTTTGCATTGACTTGGTATTAGGGGTGTAACGATACACTCAGCTCACTATACGATGTGTATCACGATATAATGTTCACGATTCGATATGTATCACGATATTTGGAATAAAAATTTACAATTTAACTGAAATGCAAATTTTACCAAGTAAACTATTTTTATGTATTTCTTTTGTTTCAACTTGTTAAACTGAACCTTCTTTTAGAAAATATATTAAACAGGCCTGTCTCTGGAAAATAAAACAATTTAAAAACTTCTTAAAAAATATTATTGAAATGACAGAGACAAAATTAAGGAACAATTTAAGTAAAGGTGCAAAAAAAAATAAGCTTTCTATTCAATTGAATTTAACAGTAAGAACTTAAGGCTTTGCTTGGTCACTTGCGTTTTTTGTGTGTGCAAAAAAAATCCACATTTTCAGGTAATCAGCAGTTCTATAAGATAATCCTGAACTTATGTGTATCTGTCTGAGAGGTTTTTATGGATGGCTGTCTTCATGGGCATGATGAGTGACAGGGTGGCCGTCTTTTCATTACACAGGACAGTCGTGGCTCTTTTCAGCAGTTTAGGCAGGTTTACTATTTCTTCTGCGTCGCTGATGTCGGCGCTATCAAGTGTATCATGTTGACGTGCATTTTTGTGTACCTCTGTACTCAAAAGGGTTAATGCTCGTCGTAATCATAACTCTAAAATGCGATATGATTGTTTAAATAATGTGTACGTTTTAGGTTTCATTTCCACTGCTAAGTGCTGTTCATACTTCCCACGCGGCTCCTGAAAGATCACTCTGTTCCACAAACTGAATGTTGTTTACTACTTTATTAGTCACAACCTGCAGGTTCTGTTCACTGAAGCAGACGCGCGCGTATGGCAAGCCGTTTTAGCATTTAAACCTTTGTTCTGACTATCCATAAATATATTTAATTCATATTTAATTTAATTCATTTAGAGATATCTCTAATTATATTTTGACTAGTCGAATTATAATTATGACTAGTCAAAATATAATTAGAAATATCTCTAAATATATTTATGGATAGTCAGATCAAAGGTTTAAATGCTAAAACGGCTTGCCATACGCACGCGTCTATCATAGTCCGCCCTCTGTAGTAACAGCTCACGTCATGTGTGATTTTGCGGCCGCCAATACATCATTATATGAAGACAGAATGATATTTTAGGGTGAATTGTACCTTATAAATACAGTTTGTGACTCTTTCAACACCATTAGGAGGTATACCTGTCGCTGTGCAAAGTATGTAAATCACTGTGAAGACTTTAAAACTTAGGATGTTTGACCCAGTATGCGTGTCAAAAAGCGGACGAGTCTAAAGCAATGACTACAACCGAAATGTTGCCAGACGTCTGATTTTGAGAGGATGGGCCATCCTTTATTTAAACTCCACTCATCTTGGTCTGCTAACATTACTGCTGCTGCAATCTGAACTCACATGCGACAGCAGGTGGAACATAGCTCACGTGCAAACAGCTCAACTAATAAGAGAAACGGACGTCATATCGTAATCAAATTGTCATAACGCCACGATGCATATCGAGACATTTTTGCATCGCAATAAATCGTACTACGATAAATCGTTACACCCCTACTTGGTATTTAATCTAATCGCATAAATACTTTCCACTTTTGGTGTGAAACCAGCATAAGATTCTGTTAATACAGCATGAGTGGGAAGCAAACATCTTCCGTAAGTTCCTTTTATTGTTACAGGGAAATAAGCTCTGTTCATTGAATATTATGGCAAGTTGTATTATTTTGTTTATACAGATGTCATTTCAATTCTTGTTTAGAAAGATTGGATACCATATAATTTTATTATAATATAATTAATTAATTTTAATATCACAATATAATTTATTTAAAACAAAAACAATAAATAAAATTTAAATTTAAAGCCATTTTCCAAATTTACAACCTGAAAATGTAAAACCATTTTAGTGCTAAAAACAAACCACAATAACTTTTAATAAGTTTAATTGTAATAATAATAATGATAAGGAATCACATTATGATAAAAAAAAAGTCTCAAAAGAAGCATTTACATTTTGAGATTAGCTCGAGATTACATTTAAAATTAGCAATGTTTCCATCCAAAGATGCTAATTAAATTTATGAGCAAAACTGGATTATCGCATAAAAGACATGCGAATAAAGCAGCGTTTCCATCCAACGAGTCAAAAAGAACCAAATCATTACTTCCTGATTAACTGGTGCCAAATATCAACAGTAAAGATGGAATTTGCTGTGGTAGGAGAAGCTGCGTGAATCTTTTCCTTATTTAATATATGACTTGTGCCTCAGAAGACAGTATGCCGACACGCAATGAACGTGTGGTGCCATTTGAAGGTGTGAGACGGAGCTAGACAGCTGCGTTTTTTTCCCAATCTTAAGCTGACAGTAAAGAAACAAATATAAATAAACAAAATAAACAAATAATTTAACAAATATAAAAAATGGCAAAGTCAAAAAGATTTTTACCAGGAATAAACTTTCTTTAAAAGTCGAAGGTCCTTTCAAAAACAAACCAAGGTAAAACATCCATCTCTAAATCTGCAGATTGTGCACTGCATATGTCTAAAAACGAAAATTATATTTTGTACATTTTTCCAAAGAACATTCTATCATAGAATATCATTGCCATAGAATATGTGCACTCTCATACCATGTTTAGAGTAGGGCTGCACAATATTGGAAAATTGCGATATTTTGTTTTCTGCAATATTTATTGCAATATAAGTATATAATTATTTCACCAGATTAACTTGAATAGCTCAATTTGAAAAGAACTCATAATTT